TGTCTTTCTCCAAAGACTGGCCCCTTGTAACAACAGGCTCAAAACATGTAAGATTTAGCTTTTCACCCTCGCCTTGCCTCTAAGGAGCAGCTTGGTAGCACTATCTCCAAGACATACTTGTTTGCTCTTTTGGCAGTTCATGGGAACAGTACTATTTTCCAAAGCCACAAGTCAAAGGCATCACTTCTTTTATCATCTTTATTCATTCTCCAACTTTCAGATGCACAGCAAGTAACTGAAAACACTGCGACCTGGACCAGGTGCATTTTAGTATTTAAACTGACATCATTGCTCCTTAGCTCTTTGGAGAGGTCCTTGACAATAGACTTTCCCAATGCAACACTTCTTTAGTATCCAAGTAAGATAAGTGGTTGACAATTTAAATCATTTCTCCATGTATCATGATGTTGCCTATGGGTCCAGTGGTGAAAGTTTGTTTTCTTGATGTTATTGAAGGCTTCAGTCCTTGATCCACTGCAAGCACTTTAGGTCCTCGTTTTCATTACAATTTTAGAAATCAACACATATACTATTATTGAATCTAGTGTTCTATTCATACCACTTCTTTATGCAAATGATGCAGTCCTACTTGCTGAAAGTGAGGACTTGAAGCACTTGCTGCAGAATGTCAACATCCACAGCCCTCAACATGAGCTGCATCTCAACGTAAAAAACAACAAAACCCAACAACAAAAACCAACCATAAATCCTTGCCCTTAGAAAGATAGGCAACATCATGATTGTTGTTGTGTACCATTGAGTTGAAACCGACCCATAGCTGACCTTCTGGCGGGTTTTCAGAGGCAGTTAATCACACAGGAGACTGTCCATCCTTCTCCCGTGGAACAGTTGGTGGCCTTGAACCGAGTGCCTTCAGGATTGCAGTGCAGCTTCTTGCCATTAGACCATCAGAGCTCCTTACATCATGATAGATGGAAAAAAGACTGATATTGTCAACTATTTAATCTTACTTGGATCCACAGTCCCTTGGTGCCAGCAGTCAGATCAGGAGACATACTGCACTGGGAAAGTCTGTAGTCAGGGACCTCTCTAAATTACCGAGGGGAATGATGCCAGTTTGAGGACTAAGGTGTGCACGATTCAGGCTATGGTCTTTACAGTCAGTTGTGATGCATTTGAGAGCTGGACAATGAGTGACAGAAAAAGAACTGATGCCTTTGAACTGTGGTGGTGAAGAGTGCTGAACAGCCCACGGACTGCCAAAATAACATGTATGTCTTGGAGAAAGTGCAGCCAGAGTGCTCCTTAGAGGTAACAATTTTATCTTATATAAATTGGGCATATTGCTAGGAGAGGTTATTCCTTGGAGAGGAACATCATACTTGGAAAAGTGGAGGGATGGTGAAGGAAAAGAAGACCCTCAACCAGGTGGATTGATACAATGACTGCAGCAACGGGCTCAAGTGTGTCAGAGACGGTGAGGATGGTACAGGATCAGAACTGTTGTTCAAAGTAGTTATGAGTTAGTTGTACTCCTCAATGACACCTAACAACATGGGCTGTATTCATTTCACTGATCATGTTTACTTCTGGTCCAGGATTCAGCTGAGGATTATATGCTGCATTTAGTTGTCCTCTTTAACCTGGGTAGTTCCTTAGCCTTTGACTCTCACAACCTTGATACTTTTGGAGTCTGCATGCCAGTTACCGTATAGAACATCCCTCAGTTTGGGTGTCTTGATATTTTCACATGGCTGTTTTCATTAATATGGTTTACTCATGTAAGCATAATTATGGTGCCTGGACCCAATCTGACATACTTGGATTAAAAACATGGACATATTGGAACCAGCAATCAGGAAATAAGGAGATGCACTGCACTGGGCAAATCTGCAGTTACAGACCTCTTCAAAGTACTGAGGAATAATGATGTCCATTTGAGGACTAAGGAGCATCTGATTCAGGCCATGGTCTTTCCAATTACTTGCTATGCATATAAGAGCTGGGCAATGAATAAGGATAACAGAATTGATGCCTTTGAGCTGTGATATTGGAGGTGAGCACTGAACATCCCATGGATGGCCAGGAAAACAGATATGCCTTCGAAAGGGTGTAGCTGGAGTGCTCTTTGGAGGCAAGAATGATGAGGCTTCGCCTCACAAACTTTGGTCATGTTGCTAGGAGGTGCTATTCCTTGGAGAAGGACATGTTGTTGGGAAGGGTGGAGGGTCGGTGAAGGAGAGGAAAACCCTCAACCAGGTGGATTGATACGGTCACTGCTGCACTGGGCTCTTGTGTGTCAGGAAGTGTAAGGATGGTGCAGGACAGGACAGGGTTCAGATTTTTTGTTCACAGGGTCGCTATGAGTTAGTTGGTCTTGCCTCAATGGCACCTAACAACAACCCTTTATTGCGACTTGCTTTCATGTTGGCGGTATTAACCAACCCATGGTCATCAAGTTGATTCCAACTCATTACGACCCTGTATAGCAGAGTATAAGTCTTTCCTATCCTGAGTTTCCAAGGCAGTAAGTCTTCATGGATGCACACTGCCTTTTCCCACAGAGCACCCGATGGGTTGGAACAACTGACTTTTTGGTTAGTAGTTGTGTGCTTAACCACTGTACCAACGAGGGCACTGGGATTAGTCAAGGTGAGTATAAAGATGTAGGATAGTGCTTCACGCATAGTACGTATAAACAAATGTTAGTAAAGTGAGCTTTTTGTGGCTTTACTATCAATATGTACTTGGCAAGTGATGAGATCTGCCAAGTGGCATTTAGCTATGTATAATAAATGTCATGGGCACCTTAGCTGAGTTAACATCTATTGCCCTGTCCCCGCCAAAGACCTGCAATCACCATGGGGTGCCCTGTTCCTTTTGGCCAGAGGTCTCCCTGCAGTTCCATGCATTCAGATCTGAACTGACATTTCCTTGACCATCAGATGGTTGGAATAAAAGTTGAAACCTATGAAATAATTAAGTGCTGTTCTTGTTGACAATTATGTCTAGATCTTTGGCCTTCAGATTTCATTCATCTGTGTCTTACGTGTCTTTAAGGTGCATAAAATGTCTGCTGAAGTCATAGAGAAATAATTACTCTTTTGTGAGTTGTCTGAGCAAAAAAGGAAATTAGGAACTTCCACCACCCAACTGCTCCTATATTATGTATATATTAAAAGAGACTTAAAAAAAGACTAAAATATAAATCACATCATACCAAAGTTTATTGATTACATCAAACAAAAATTTCTGTAATGAAAAAGGCAAGTTGCATTCATAAAAGATGGCATTCACATTCATTATAGAAAGCAACAACATAGATGTAAAAAATTGCTTAAGTGAAAAAATGTAATATTGCAGTCCCATTTTGCAAGCTGAAAAATGATTTTGTCAATACTTGCATAAAATCTGCACATTTATATAGCGCATGTTATTAAAAAATTCCATCACTAAATTATTATGAACATTGTAAATTTAGACGTTCATTTGTACTGTTGCTGGTGTGTATGTGGTTGATAGGAATTAATGTTTGTCGATTGGTAGGCAACGTCCTTAAACAATGAACAGTGGTGAAATTCACCAGAACATCGTGAAGTTGAAAAACCATCCTGATTGTGGGTATATGACCTTACTATTACATTTCCCCTTTCTTTGTAAAAAAAAAAAATTAATAGAATGGTGAGATTGCAGTGCTAAGAAAACCAGACAGCTTCAAGTTATTCCATCTGTTAACCCCATGCTAGCCACTTTTAGCCCATCAATTAAAAAAAAAAAATCTTTAAAAAGGCAAGGCAGATGCTTCCCACGGTGTTACACACTGCCATTCTGAATTTGAGTGGCAGTGCAACGTGTAACTGAAACATAATGCTAACTTCAACTTCCCCGTCCTCCTCATCTAAATCACTTCCTGGCTGTAAGGAAATGCATATGCATCCAATTATACTTCCACTCCCTTGGGAATCCTGATTCGGTCACATCTCCAATGGTTCTGCAGTGTCGCTGCCTTCCCATCATGTCTCACAGTCCCTGTAGTTCTGTATTCACAGTCCCTATAGTTCTTAGGTAAAACAGTAACAAAACAACTCTCAGGACAAAAACATGGTAATAATCACAACAACAATAAGAAACATGAAAAGCTTTCTTGGGTCTGCTTTTTATATCTTTGGAATAGGCGAATATAAAGACACTGTTGTAAGCAAATTACCTCAAATACAAGCTACCAGAATAACAGCAAGTTCTAAGTGGCACTTGCCGAAATGCTCACAAATAATACTGACAGATGAGAATAAATGAAATCAAAGAGCTCAGGAATTACTTCTAGTTGAAATCAAGCCATTTCTAGAATCTTTAAGGGCAAACCATGCCTAAAACCCTCCCAGCCTCAAATATATTGGTGAAAATCAAATGTGCCAGATGGACCATATAAATATATTGGTACACACAGAATCTAATACTTTTCCAAATCAAGGTACAACATAACCAGTAACAACACAGGTGTGCCAGAGAGACATACAAAATTGGCAACTGACAGGAAATGCTTTCTCTTTTATTACAAAAGACTGGTTCAATTTAGTAGTCAAATGTACCCATTTATATCCCAAACAGCATGTATTTCATTTTACCACTGAAGAGAAACATTTCATGTTGGAATTTAAGTGCACTCTCAGGAGACTAACCCCTCTTCCCAGAGCAGCGCATTAAAGGACTTTATCAAGGTGAATCTCACAGGTTAGGCTCAGACCATTGTCCTTGCCACAGTAGTAGAGAGAGACAATAGTCATGTTGACAGTCACGACTTAGCCAGCTGGGCTACCCTTCTTCCCAAAGTGGCAAGGTTTTAAAAAAACAAAAAAAAAAATGCTGCACGGATGCACAAGTGCAGCCTGTTTCAAATGAAAGCTGTAACGGTTTAAAAAAGAATTCTTCTTCCCAACATAAGCTCATAAAAAACCCTGCTATGCATTATGGCTTTTATTTTGGAGTAACTGTGGTTTTACCCACTTTATCTCAGATTACGGTAGCTTCATACCTACACATGGAGTTTAATGCGTAAGGAAAAAAACAAGTTTAAGGTCCCACACTAATACCCAGGGTTAACATTTCCACATTAAGTGTTCAAGGTATTTTTTGACAAGGATATTCCACCAAGAGACAGTCTGAATGTACATGAACAGAAAGAACTGACTATTCCATTTGATGCACTGACACCACTTCGTATTTTCAAGTATTTCTTTCATATATTTGGAAAAAATGGTTATTTATCATTCAGCAGGAACAAGAAGTGTGACCCATATAGTCTATTTCTTTTGCCAGGCCAAAAAAAGAAAAAAAATTTAGCAAAATCTATTCATTCCCATTGCATGACTTCTACTTTGATACTATTGTATTTAAATCCATTCACGAAGTTCATGGGTTAAAAGTGCACCCATTTGGTAGTTACATTATTCTATCTATCACCAGATTTCTAAGTATTCTTGCTTCCAACTTTTGTATAATTCTCAACTGATAGCTTTGGCCACAACAACTGCTTATAATAACTGTAAATGTTTGTGAGTCATTTGGTATCTGAACAGACATTGATTCTGAACCCTAGACACAAGAGTGGTTTACGCTGTTGCATATCAAGTATCCTGAGATGAGAACTTTTTGTAGTTGACTCTTCATGCTTTCTTTTCTAGCTGTAACCACTGTCAATATGCTTGTAGGACAGTAACATGGGCAGTTCAAGATTCGGATTCTGAAAAAAAGGTTAAATAAAACAAATCAAAAGGTTTATTTTTGTAACAGCATGGAAAATCTGTTTAGAATTTTCAAAAATAAATCAAGTAGTAAATTTTGTTATAAGTAAGACAACTTCCTTAACAAACTGTCAAGTTTTATCCACACATGCAGGAAAGAGAGAAAGAGGAAAAGAGAGAGAGACCAAAGCGACAGCTTTGAATCTTTGTTTTGAAGGTCAACAGATTCAGACTTGCTTTCTGCTTCTGCACTGCTCCAGGGCACACCCTGGCTTTACCACTAGGGTAACCCAGCAGAGGTTTAGTTCACTATGCCCTTGTCCTCTAGGTAAGAAGCTCTTTAAAAGCAGGGACAAGAGACAACTTTTTATCTCTAGCACCAAGCAGAGTTGTCTGTCCTGGACAATCCAATGAATGGATTGCTTTCTTAGGGAAGTGTGAATTTTGACAAAGGAGGTCTGAAGATATATTCACTTTTCAAAGATTACAGTGAAAATACAGTTTTAAAAATGTTACTGGATGAAGTAATGTCCCTTCTATTATTGACCAGCTGCCACTGTGACAATTCAGATTCCTGGTAACTCATGTTATAGACTAGAACTGGGCTCTGGAGGGTTTTCAGTGGCTAGGATCTCTTGGAAGGAGATCACCCGGCCTTTCTTTGTGGTGGCTGGGAGAATCGGCAAACTAATCAGAGTATAAGTCATGTATTTCAATAATGAGACCACTTCTGAAATCCTACATCCAGGAATGGCGGAGTCTAAGCTTGCTTCACTACATTAAAGGGTATTTTCAATTATTGATTGTGACTCTAAATAGTGTAAGGCCTTTGTGTGTGTGGAGATGACAACCTTTCCATTTTGTTTCCTCATCATGATTACATGAGAAGTCTCCTGAAAAACTTTTGAGGCTGTAATTCCATTTTTCTTTTCCATCCACATTCTCAAGAACTAGTTAGTGGTAGTTCTTTAGTGCAGGACCGTGATGACTGACGAAAACTCATGGAATAAACACAGAGGCTAAACTAATTATGAAATACTTTCCTTGGAGGAGAAATGATGTCATGTGAAAAATCTATTACTGGATGAAATAATTATCATTAAAAAGAAGATGAAAAGAATTGTTTTCTTTGAAAAGTAAAAATTCCCTCAATCCTATGTTACGTATGGTAGGAGTTAAATCCCTGGAGAGGTCAAATGCAGTAGCAATGTCTGTTACCCAACCCTGTCCCTAAACGTCAGAGCGAACTCAAGAATGCAATCCAGGGGGAGATAAAATTTACTGGAAACAACACAGCCAAAATGGACCACACAACTTAAGACAAGGCTATCTGCAACTAAAGGCTGAAACTGTGAAGGCCAAGGAATATCCCTTTCCTAGGGAAAATAAGTACGCACATTAATCTCTGAAAGATGCTGAGTGAGACCAAAAGAGTCTGCCTCGTAATTACGGTTGTAGACGCAGACCATGAGGAACAGGTGACAGAATCAGCTGACAGGGAAACTTACTGACTCCATCCTGTAATGGGGTCGGGTAGGGAGTGGATGGCAAAACCCAAACAAGTGGATCTATCAGGTACACTTGCAACTGTCTGCTTCAAAGTGAATGGACCAGCAATTTCAATGATGAAGATCATCAGGTTTAGTGAGCGGATAAAAGATGGCCTTGCCGTAAGCTGCATGTAGTTGTTTCTACACTGGCAGGTGTGCACTCATGCATGAACGACTCTAAAGGCCTGGGGGGCCCAGGCTCCTAGAGTGGGGAACATGGAGGGCACACAGTAGAGAGTCTGAGTTCAATGCTTCCTTACACGGATAATATTTCTTATAAAAATAGGATACTATATTTGAAAGCAATATATTTGCTATTGGAAAAAGTAATTTTCTCTAGTTTAGCTAGCATCCCCCTGAATGGCTAAGAAAGTTTTCAGCTCTGAAGGCTGAAACATTTAGCTCGAATAAAACTTGACATTAAACAACAAAATCAGAAAAAAAGTTCCCCAAATTATTATAATAGACCGGTTTATTAATACATATTTAAGAATCAGACATGTACAAGGTACATACCTGCAAACACACAGACACAGCACATGAAGGTACGAACACATTTAATTATTTTCACATAATTCCCAAAAAAGGAACATGCAAGACTAAACTGACTCGGGATTATACAGATGCAAGTTTGGAATATTCTTTTTTTTCTTTTCCAAAGCGTCTCTTGAAATCGGAATCACAGTTCCAGATCAGTATGGATGAGCATTTTCAAATGATGGGCCAGCCGTGACAATGTGCTCCTTACAAATGAAAGATATTGTACTTCCCTCTCAGTTCTGGAAACACCTGCAATTTTACTTGAAGGCTGAGCCAGTTTTGAAATGTGTATTTCCCCATATTCCAAGTAATGCATCTTTATATTTTGGCAAAGAATAGTTATAAAGTTCACCACACCAACAGCAGAGAAAATTTAGAGAGTAATGATTTTTCTTTTTAAAAAAATTTCTTATAATGCTGTTAATCTGTTTCTTTAAAGCCAGCCCGCTTGTTTAGCACTAGGTACCTGTTACAACATATTAGATTCGTCTGAGAATGTTCGTAAAAGAAGAGGTCTGACTGAAGGTCTGGCGGATAATGAGTCAGATGCCCTTCTACAGCTCTGATTTCTCTGTAATAGTGAGGTAAAGATACTTAAAGCATTTGAAGATTAGTTAACCTACCTGGAGATAAAAATGTAGTAGGGAAAATAAAAGAAAAAAATATTTCCTATGAATTCTACTCTTCTGGCCAAAAGTACAAATGATTACACGGTAGTAAATGCGTAACATTCAAATGAATACATTGAAAAGCCTATGAAGTCTCCAACTCAAATCGAAATGTTTTCATGGTGGAAGTACACAGACATTAGAAGTGTGTGGCAAACTTGGATTTCTGAAATGGCACTGGTAGGTTATGTGGTAAGATGAGTCGATATGGTGGGATTAGAAAACCTTACCATCCTTTTGGTGAACACCTCTGAGAGTTGTGCTGGTGGCTGTGAGTTTACCGAACGAACAAGAATTTGTACAAAACATTCCTGTCCTGGTGAACAAACTGGTTCCACGCCATGGCTACTACATACCATGGGTAAGGGAGGCCACAGACTTATAGTCTAAGCTTTTCAAAATGACTTCCTCTCCAGTGCAACAGTTTGAGGAGGTGAAGAAATGGTTAAAGGAAAATGACCAAATACTCTAAGTATCAACAGAAGATATAAAACAAGGCATGAGAAGTAATGTATAGAATCAGGAAATGGCGTCAAGCAAATGAGAAATGCAAGCAAGTTGGTACATTAAGAAAGAAAATCACCTTTATTCACTCCAAGAGAAACTGTGATTGCTGGAAGTTTGAGAAAGCATGAAGATAGTAGATGTTCCTGAGGAAGGGAGGCGTTTCGTTACCTTGTTCACAATTGCACAAAAGGTGGAAAATTGCAGTAGAAAAAAGAGAAATGCAGAAACCAAAAAACAAAAAGTAAATATACTCTCGAATGTAAGACATTTAAAGAATAAGTAGAAATGACATGTTAGTTTTGAAGACGTATCTTTCTGAAGAGTAGAGTTAGTCAGGAATAGGCTATTATATGTGCAAATTGTAATATCTACATATATAAATGTAATTTTTCTAATGAGGAAATTGACTACTTCTGAATTCACATAAATTTTAAATGTTTCTCATTCACATAAAACTTATATTCAGTCAATTTGCTAAGCTACATTTGTTCAAACCCATTGGTCCAGGGTCCATCCACAATCCACCATGAAGGAGCTGGCTATATTTGGGCATTTACAGGTTAAAAACCTCATCAAAACGAAGGTAATGGAAAAACACTGGGTGAAGTCATACTTAAGTTTCATTTACTTCTGGACCAATGCTTACCTTCTTCTAACACGGTTTGATTGGCCTCCCCCATATTTTTTTCTGTAAGATACCTCTTTAAAATAGGTAAAGAGCTTACAATTTTCCTTTTAAAACACCTAGAAGTCATCCAAGCTGATAATTTAATGTATTATTATAAACCCTAGCCGACTATCAATTTCCTTCTTATCTTGTGCCTAGACTTAGAAACTACTTCTTAGACTTGGTTTTGGTATTGCCCAAGCAAAAGAGAAGATGAGGTCAATTATGAGGATGAGTTTGAAAAGTCTTCCAATCAAGAGTACCCATTTTATTTACTTAGCGACAAAGGAAAAGAGATACAACAACAACAAGAAGGAAAAAAGTCAAGTAACTTATATATCCAGCAGCCTAATAAACTTTCAAAGGCAAATACTTTGATTTAGCCAGGTATGTTTTTGAGATTAGTTAAATTTTATTTCCAGTTCAGATTTTACCTAGAAGCAGCATGCCAATAACCAGTTAAGAAATAAAAGATTTTGATTCTGGGAAAATGTTTACAAATCGCTCCTATCTTCTATTTTGTGGGCAAAAACTTTGTAACAAGATTAACATGGTACCAAGTCCCCCACCCCAGTGTTCAATGTGTAAGTCTATTTATTAAAGACTGCAACTGTAAGCACATTTTGGTGTGCTCCAAACTTGTACCCAACCTTTACAGATAAAAAGTATTTATTTACAAAGTAGAAACTTTCTGGGTTAATACATTAGGTGTTAAGACTGCTTTATAAAGAAAAAAATGAGATATGAAAGTACAGAAGGCAGTAGAAAGCATGAAAAGAATATCTAAAGCAAAAAAAAAATACTGATATTGCTAACAGTTGGTGAGGGTGGTGGGAAGAACAGGAGATGAGGAGTTTCAACAATATGACATTTTCACATTCCTTTGCAGTCACCCGGATCTTTGACACTGGCCCACTCAGCACTATGTCAGAGAAGCCAATGGACTGGGGTCCATCTCAACAGCCACGGCATTAGGATTTGACAATCCCCTCCCACCCGCCCCCAATCAACCTCATAGCCTTAGAACCCATGACTACTTTTGACACTGTAATGATTCCATTGTTGGTGTCGTGAACTGTTGAGTTGGAACGTAGTTGACCCTCCCCAGTGGGTTTCCAAAAGCAGTGAACGGCACAGGAAGAGACTGCCCAACTTTCTCCCACCGAGCTGCTAGTGGATTCGAACCACGTGCTGTTGGGTTGACAACACAGCTCTTAGCACTAGGCCGCTTTCTAATGGAAGGATTCCAATAGTAACCATCCTTATCCACTATTATTACTATAAACAGAATTTCCCCCCCTAACTTTTCCAAGTGTTTCCCCAGGGAATTGTGTTCACTGGCTGACATTCCTCCTCCCCTCACCACAAGAGCTCTCCTCCATAACGGCACGTTTCTGTGCAGATGAGCTATGCGAGGCCTGGTGGTGGTGCTGCTGGGCCCACTGTCATTAGATCCCAGTGTTCTCGTGTCTAGTCAGCCAGGCCTCTAGCTCACTGTGCCAGTTACCTGCCATGGTTTTACACAAGGCCACGGGAACATGCCTCCACTGGAAATGTGATGTTTACTACTTAGCTCCAAGGGCCAGGGGAACTGCCCCGATTCACAGAAGGCCCAAATGCTTGCTTAGAGGGCACATGGCTTTTTGAAATACCCAAGTCTCGAACCTGCAACTTTCTCTGAGGTGCAGTCCTCTCAGTTCACTGTGCAGTACTCGGCGGGCCTTTCATCTCACTGGCAGCAGCGAGGCTGTGGAGCCTTTTCACATGGTAAGCTACAGAAATGCTCTCTGATCTTAAAGGATGGGACCTCGGCACCAAAATGAACTTGAGTTCTGAAAATATAGCTGAGGAATATGTGACTTAACCACACTTTCTTACTTAAGTGCCTGAGGGAACCTTCTGAAGCTCGTCAGTGTTACGACATAACTCAGCTTTGGTGGAGGCCACCATCCAGTCTTTGCACAGAAAGCTTCAGGAGGTAGTGACTCAGTCTTTGAAACAGCTCAGCAGTGTTGTAATAGGCCAGCCTATCACTGATTTCTACCATTCTTCTTCCTGCTTGTTTGTGGGCGGGGGGTGCGGAAGAAAAAAGAAAGAATCTCCTTTCTAACTCAGCTGAAGTAACAGCTCTCTGTGAGCAGGGGCCGTGTGTGCTTCACATGTGCAACCAGTGTAAGAGCTCTGGAGTCCTCAGGTGGTGCGGACAGTTAAAGTGCTTGGCTGCTAAATGGAACGAGTGCCTGGAGGTTGGAGTCTACCTCGATGCCCCTCACAAGACAGGTCTGGTGGTCTGAGGAGATCACCTACTGAAAATCCTCTGGGGCACAGTTACATCTGACAGGAGTGGGGTCACCATAAATTGGATTTAATTAGGCAGCAATCGGTTTCGTACAAAAGTGAATTCACAGTGGCACCTCAGACAACGTGTGCTAAACGGAACGGAAATCCACATAAGACTGTAGCTATAATGGTTATTTATGTGCAGTAACTTACTTCTCTCTCAAAGTGGCCGCCTAGTATGGCTGCCTGGGCACAGCATTGGTGGCCAGTCTGCCACTGGAACTACTGGCTGTGTGCACAAAGCTCAAAGAGCTGAATGGTTAAAGCCAGGGATGGGACTCCTCATTAAGGAGCATGTCAAGCATAAGATGAGTCCAGTGTAAAATTACCTCTTGTCTCTCTTTAAAATGAGACCACCGCCTTAGCAAGGACACTGAACAAAGCAGGAAAAGCTGCCACTTAAGATGCCTGTTGTACACTAAGCATCAAGGCTAACGTATTTCAGGAAAGAAAGAAAGTCTTCCTCCTCATACCTTATAGGTGGCCTCTGCTTCTTTGGTATGACCGAAACCAAACTGTATATAGAAAGAGACGTTACTTAACAGAATAGCCGTGGCTGCTGTCATAGATCAGTTGGTCTTTATGCATTCATGTGCACTTGCATTTTCTCACAAAGAAAGGAAGACAGAGTGCTGCTGAGTGCCTGCAAACTCTCATCTCTAACTCTCAGATACCATCAAGTCTGAAAAACCATGTGGCCTTTCAGACACTGGATGTGAAGAGAGATGTTCATCAGTAGGTGGTTCAATAAATGTTGACTGGTTCAACAGAGGTAGGAATATATGAATGAATGATTCAATGAATGAAGATGATCATGGAAATCCACTGGGCGGTTCTAGCGAGTCAGCATGCCAAACTACAGTGCAGACCGAAACTTCCTCCCACCACAGATTAACTTGCGGCAAACAAGCTTCATGTGGAACAGACTTTTCTACAATGTTAAGTAAAATGGACTGTGGTTCTAGAACTCCAGGCTGTCAACAGACCTTTAGGACCTCCTGTTTGCACTCGGGAAGGGTGGAAGGAAGTCCTAAGGTTTAATCTCGACTGCCTTTCAGCATCCTTCCATGGAAGCCTATAGAAAAAACATCACCTCCAGCCAGTACCTACATTTTTCTTTTTTTTTTTTTAAAAGAATGCTACGCTTGAAGATTTTGACTTCTCAGTCTTTGTATCATCTTTAGAGTATAAAGTTAGATGTGATTCATCTTAGCATGAGTTCCATTACTCCACATAAAGAGAAAACATTTAGGAGAAATTAAAGGTGCACTCCTGAGTAAGAATGGTAGAAAAAAAATAGGAGAGTCTCCTCAGATCAGTTAGATATTCTATAAAAGCATAAAAGAATTTCTTACTGTGGCATCTTTTATTTGGCCTCCTTCAAATTGCTACCTCAGTCATTTTGAGAGGAACCTGTCACACCAACTTGTTTTTCCTCCTCTGTTAATAAGGTATGAACAGACCATGAAAGGTTCCATCCGAAGACTAACCTCTAGGCTGGAAAGAGTTAATGTGAGGTCGACTGGAAGGAGTTAGGCAAAGACCAATACAGTATTACTTCGGCTGACACAATTCTTGTTCAGTTCCATCTTGGAATGCACACAGAAGCTGGTAATTCAGGACATTCTGACTACTTAACTATACATGCACTGGCCAAGAATCAATGTTGTTTATGCCACTGACAATTCGTTTTCAATTGAGAGTGACTGTGTGGACTTGAACATGAAGATCTTTACACATTTGTCACTCAAGATTTTTTTCCCGCTATAATACTGTCAAATTCCCATTTATATATGATGTTAATTATTGGGTTGTGTCAATTTAAAAACAAACAAACAACAAAACCAAACCCCCAAACCTCAACAAAAATCAGACAACCTAGCTTGGTGGCTAAAAACTGGTTCATAAATTTGATCAAAGAAGGTAAGGTTAACAGAATTTAAAGTATTTCTTGAAAATAATTGCCTTGGAGAGGATACAAGATCCTGGGACAACAATGACAGAAACAGGCTTTTTGATTGGCAAAATGCGGTAACATCGGCAGGAATATATTTAATTAACTTGTAAGTCAAAATCTGTCCAAAGTTTTCTTTTCCAGGTTAATCTACTCCTTTCAATTTGAAGGCTGTTTAGGAATGTCCACGAAATGTCAGATAATGCAGGGACAAGTAATCAGGAGGAGGGAAGATTAAGAACTTTTCATATCTATGACAAATTTTACAATGTAAGCAGCAAAACCCCACACACATTAAAAGCAATCTCGGATGCTTTCTTTTCTTCGTTAAATGAGTATGTTCAGTAAAGTTAAGGATGCAGAAATCACATCCAAGGAATTCTCTTTGGATCAGATATTCTGCTGGACGGCCAGGGCTAGAAGCAATGCAGAGATTAAGCAGCACTATAATTAAAGGAGGGGCAAGTTTTCAAAGTGGCAAATTGGGACTATCAAGGGAAAACAAAAGATCTGCAAACAACCCACAAGGAAATTTCTAAGGTTAAAGTTGAAATGTTGGTGTGGAAATTCCTGGTGTGAAAATTTCTAGCCTGAATTAAAAAGAAAGTATATTTTCTTTCAAATTTCCATATGGAGCATGTTATATACTCCATATGGACTACTAAAGGTCACACAGAACACCAGTAAGGAATCTACTTACCACCTGCACTGAGTAACGAAGTTTTTACTATACTTTTATGCAGAAGAGGAAATTAAGTGGTGAACCTGTAAGGAGGGGTTTAATAATTCTGTAACTGAGATAGTTCTCTAAATAAGGTTCTTAGTTCAGGGCAGGTATCAAAACACCTTCAAAAGTTCAACTAATGTAAATGTAGTTCTTACCCTGGCACTTCTTCTTCTTACATTCTTTAAAACTATCAGGAGAATCTCAGGGAAAAGGCTGATAAATATAAGAAAAATTATGGCCAACCATGTGGATACAGAAGACAGCATCTGAGCAAATACAAAATACATTCTTTGTTGCTTGAGAAAAGGCCTGGAGTGGAAAGACAAGATACAACAGAAAACAAGTGAGTTTCCATCATACAGAACAGAAATGTAATTTGAAACTGTCTTTTGTATTTAAAAGGGCTCTTCATTATGCACGTTAATAAAAATAATTTTCTCTAGAACATCCCAAATGTGGTAAAGAAATTTCATTTACCAAATGTTTTGAAAGAAAAGACAGGATAATCAAAGAGAAAAAGAAAGATAATAAAATACATTTGACTTGACAACAATCAGGCAATCAACTCTGAAGCTGCCAACTGGAGAGTATTTACTTTCATTAGAAAATACTGGAGCTTCAAAGATATTCAGGACAAAGGATAGTTAATTTCAATGATAACAAGCATTTTACTTCCCAGCTATTTTAGTAATATGAAGATAATTTTGTGCTTTACATTTAGAAACTGAAAATATCTTTTTATAATTCTCTCTCACAAAACACTGTATTAAAAAAAATAAAAATAACTAGAGAGCTAATCTCTCTCAAATGGTAGGAACCTAGCATTCCCATTGACAAATACATTTTTTTAGTTCTAGCATGTGCCAAGCAGGGTGGTAGAAAGCAGAATACTGCAAATAGGGCATTAAACCCTGGAAATTCCAAAACTGAGGAGGTGGCCGCTGCCTCCTCTGCCTTGAGATGAAAGTCAGAAAGAATTTGGTTCAAATCACCCACTGAGCTCGTGAGTGCAGCCTTTGGGAAACATAGCCAGGTTCCCACTGAGAGTCTCCCTGGGTAACTTCAAGGCTGTTCTAAGAGGAGGACAGAGAGGAAAGTGGCTGCTGGAGGTGTGGATGCTCACCGGACCCTTGGTGCCAGAGCGTTAGGTAGGTAACCACCTGGCACCATTTGTTCTATCAGGCATTGCTCACTGATGGTAACTGGCTGTGTATTTAAAACTCAGTGTCCGCATCATCGAGTAACACTTTGAAATCAAACTTGTTCTGCATCTCTGTGGACTGGGCAGTGAACAGAAGTGGGCAGGACAGAAAGGTAGGCAAACCTAGGAGGCCCGGACTACAGACTCTGCTCTGCAGAATTCTAGCTCTGAGGAAAACACTAAGTGACTCTCTGGACAGGTAAGTGATAGCCAGTCCTTCATACTGTGCCTATAATACTCTCTCTTTCTCCTTGCTCTTTCTCTATATAGACTTACACATACACATACACTTCCCCCCCACCTTGAACGACATCTATGGAACATTTCAGGGAAGCGGTAAAAAACAATAGATATAATCTCTGGGTTGGGCTCTGTGCTCAGACCTCATTCTCACTGCGCACCCTGACGAAGGAGTGGTTCCAGTGTCTCAGGACAGAAAGACGTCTAGCTTCAGGGTAGCAGCAGGAACCAGCATTCAGCTGAAGCTTCATATGGTGACTAGTCCTATTCTGCACAAAGACCTACAGATTTTAGTTTCTCAGAAATATCTTTTTCCTTGTGGACAAGTTGCCCTTATTAATTAGCTCATACACTGATTACAAGGATTCACAGATAGAATAGTCTGGGTAGATCTAACATTATATATCAGCTTATGTGTCTACTATTACGATGGAAACGTCTTTCAGTTTCTTGGCTCTCCATTAGTACTTATCGATGTGCCAGATATATGTTGCAGTTATACTTTTCAGAGCTGGTACATTGTTTTGCAATTAGGTATTTCTCATTTTTAAAAAGACTTTGGTAAAACAAAAGCTTTTCAAAATACTGCAAGTTTCTTCTAATTAAGTCTCAAGGGGCAGAAACATCCTCCTCCACCTCTCAAATCTCTGTGTTGAAATGTTCTGTATTTATGATTTTTCTCAAACCAGAGAAAATGTCTCACAGTGTGGATTGTGCTGGTCAGGCTCCTCCTGCTGGCATCCTTTTCAAGACAAGACACTAATAAATGAAAACAATTCTGACATTTAAAGACAAAATGTAGCCCTTTGGGAGGTTTGGAAAAGAGATGCAGCACAAGCTTCTTTGCATTCTTTCTAATTTTCCAAGTCGCAGTTTGTGTTCCTCAGTCAACTATAATCTCCTGGAGGGCAAAAGTTCTGTCTAACTCTCGTCTGTATCCCTTAGAATACCTGTTGTTATGTGCCGCCGAATCACCTGCAACTCATAGGGACCCTATATACAAGAGCTCTGAAGCCTGGCTTGTCCAGAGCCAGTCTCACTGACTCTGACCTACCTACCGTCATTGCCCCAATTACTGGATAAATCTATCCCATCCGAGGTCTTCCTCTCCTATGCTGTCCTTCCACCCTTCCGAGTATGATATCCTTCTTCAAGGACTGGTCCCTCCTGGCCACATACCCAAGGTATATGAGATGGAGCTTCAAAATCCTTGCCTCCAAGGAGAAATTTGTTTCAACCTCTCCAAGACAGACCTATTTGTTTTCTTGGCAGTCCATGGTACGTTCAATATTCCCTGCAGCACTACAACTTAAAAGCATCAATTCTTTTTCTGTCTTCCTTAGTCACAGTCCAGGTCTCTGATGCATAGCAAGTACTTGTAAAGACCATGGCCTGAATTCAGGAGTGCCTTAGTCTCTGGACTGACACTGCTGCTCTTCAGCACTTTGGAGAGATCCTTGACAGCACCTTCACCCAGAGAAATGAGTTTTTTTCATTCTTGACTGCTGTTGCCAAGAGTGTAGTCTGTGGACCTGAGCAAGCTGAAACTGTTAACAACCTCAATCTCTTCTCCATTTATGATGGTGCTGCCAATTGGCCACATGATGAGAATCGTTGTCTTCTTGATGTTGAGCTTCAATTCATAGTTAAGGTTGCAGTCCTTGACCTTCTGTAGCAAGCACTTCAGGTCCTCCTCAGTTTCTGCGAGCAAGGTTGTGTCATCTGCATGATACAGGTTGTTTGATGAGTCTTCCTCCAATCCTGATGTCACATTCCTCTTCATAAAGTTCAGCCTTTTGAATGATCTGTGCCATATAGATTGAAAAGGTATGGAGATAGGATGCATCCCTGATGCACTGTTTTTCTGATTTTGGACTAGTGGTAAGGAGCTGTGCTGCAGTCCTGAAGGGACATGGTTCAAACTGCCCATTTGCTCTGTGGGAGAAATCTCTCGTGTGATTAAATTGCCTCTGAGAACCTGGCAGAGGGTCAGCTATGTGTTGGTTCTGACTCCACACTAAACCACCACCACCACCACCACATTAGAATACCTAGCATAAAGTAAATGCACAAGACATATCTACTAAACCAAGATGAACCAATGAACTTCATGTCAGGGCTTGCCATTTCCCCCCAAAAGCAGTAAGATGTGTTTCAAAATGTAACCCTCTGCATAGTAAGTGGTGTCTATTCTATACCAGGAACACTACTTGTGGAATGAAATAACAATTACATACCACAAAGAGAGACTGGGGTTCAAAGAGATCGATCTATTGGCCAATTATCATGTAGAAACTTCACAGAATGAGCACTTCCAGTGGAGATGACATGAGAATCATGCTGAAAATTACAGTTTCAATTCACAGAGAGAAGTTACAGACCTTCAAGTTGAAAGATGTGCAAAGGCCCTCTGTGTAACTCCCACAGTCCATGTACTTGTACTTGAAAACTTACCAACAATTAGCTGTGCCACCTTACTGAAAACTTTAAAAGTATAATCAATATTTACATAGTGATGTACAAATACCTAGATCTGGTTTGTTATTTGTCTATTACAAATGAACAGCTGCTTACCAAATAATTCCTCCCCAGAAGAATGAGAAAAATACATAAAAGGCCAAGGAACCCCAAATCACAAAGTGATTTATCCACGTCCAGAATCGAGTATCCAACGCGAGCTGCAAAGACACAACCAACATAAGAGCTTTCAAGAGGGGTACAAACTGCATCAAGGGAGACATTAGGTGATCTGGTAACTATATGCAGCATGAGAAGATGAAGCTTGGGCCACAGATCCAAAGGAGAATAGAACAAATCGTAAAAAAGAATGGAGGTTGTTCAGGGTGAGAAAGAAGGTCCCTGGTGGTACAAATAGTTAAGCACTAGAGTACTCGCCCAAAGGTTGGTGGTTTGAACCTACCCAGTGACCCCACAGAAGAGAGGCTTATGGAGTTGTACATATGGAGTTGACACGAGTAGGAAGAGATTGCTGTGATGTGTCACTGAGTCAACAGCGACTCCCAGTGATCCTATGCACAACAGCTCTGAACTTTGCCCTGTCCTGAGTCAATCTCACGGTCTCCAAGACACGTACACCTATTACTCCTGTCACTGAGTCAATCCATCTCCCCCAGGGTCTTCCTCTCTTGCACTGTCACTCCACTTTTTCATGATGTCATTCTCAAAGGCCTAGTGTCTCCTGGCAACATGCCCAAAAGTATCTCAGACAGCGTGTCAAAATCCTCGCCTCCCAGGAGCAACTTCATGTCACCCTCTCCAAGACAATCCTGTTTGTCTTCTTGCCAGTCCATGGTATGTTCAAGACTCTTCCCCAGCACCACAACTCTCAAGCATTAATTCTTCCTCAGCCATTATTAGTCTCTGTGCAACTCTGATGCACAGCCAATATCTGCAAAGACCATGTCTTCGATCAGGTGCACCTTAGTCTCTAGACTGACACTACTGCTCTTTAGCACTCTAGAGACATTCCTGACCGCTGGTGCCAAGAGTGTTGAACAAGCTAAAACTGTTAACAATTTCAATCTCTACTCCACCTATCATGTGCTATCAATTGGCCCAATGGTAAGACTGTCTTCTTGATGTTGCTCTTCAATCTATATTGAAGACTGCAGTCCTGGACCTTCTGCAGCAAACACTTCAGGTCCTCCTCAGTTTCAGTAAGCAAATATAAATATGAGGTTGTGTCCTCTGCATAATGTAGGTTGTCTTCCTCCAATCGTTTTAGCACATTCCTCCTCATAAAGCCCAGCCTTTCAAATGATCTGCCCCAAATAGACTGAAAAGGCATGGAGACAGGACACATTCCTGACACTCTACTTTCCTGATTGTGAACCATGCAGTGTTTCCTTGCTCTGTTCTGACGACCGCTTCCTGGTCCAAATATAGGTTTCGAGACTGCAACTGACAACTATATGAGAAATAGCCAGTTCTGTTCTAAGGCCTCTAGATTCTGAAGTACAGAAATAGAGCTTTGGTCACGCTAAATGGCAAGTAAGTGTGGAGCTGTTGACACCTTACTGTTTGAGGAAGGGCAGGAAATACCCAAGAGGCTGGGTTGTCATGTAGTGGTAGCTGGGAGACAATGACAAAAGGAGTATGACTAGCTGGCAGACGTAGGCATATTGAAGAGCAGGAAGAGAGAAAAAAGAGAATATGAGGGGAAGACTAACTGTACAAAGGAGTCACAGCACTTCAACACAACAGATGGGACCCTGTAGCAATGAATTATAGGCTATGTAGTATGCCTTTCCAATTGCAAAATCCTTACCTACTCAATTAAATAAAATTTTCAGTCATCTCATAATCCTTTTAGGTTTCTGCCAAGACTAAACCTTTTTCCAGATTGCGGAACTTCAGTCTTTTGTATGTGATCTAAAAACAAAAGTACGGGCCTACTATGCTTGCTTAGAAGTTCAGGTGATATGGGCATTTATTTAAGGTTCAGGGGGAAGTGATGTTTCATTTTTGCTACTTGCTGTGAAACCATGGTTCTCTGGTCTCTGTTACAATTTCTCTGTTAATAAACAGAATGCTGATGACATTGTCAATGTAGCCCTGAACTACCACTAGGCTGCTAGGGAGAGTGTTACAATAATACCCTCCAAAAAAAGTGGATATTTTGAGAATGCAATAAAGCCACTTACAGCCTTGCAGCTTATGCAAGGAAAAGATTACACACAATTTATCTCAAGTCATTATGATCCTTTGAAACAAACAGCATCTATGATAACGGGAGTGGTATCTTTGCTGGCCATACTTCTCAAAGTGTTTTATAAGGTTTTACCAACTGAACACTCAAAAAAATCTTAGAGAGAAGAACTGCTTTTACTTCCATTGTACAGAAGAAAAGTCAGGCCCAGAGAAGTGCTGTAACTTGTCTGAGGACACCTAACGAATAAGTGGCTAAATGGAGATGAACATTCACAATTACTTTTTGAACACATTTTAAAGTCTTAAACAGAGGTCAAGAAGTATTCATTTTTTTTTTAATCATAGGTAGGCTGCTTCTTATTGTAATTATCAGAAGAATCTGACTATGTTTTCAACTATAAAATATGAATCCCAACACATGGGATACATTCTACAAGACTTCAAAACATTATTACATGACTGCATGTTAATGTCAATGATTTTGACAACACTCCCCTTCTTATACGTTGTTGTTAGGTCAATTCTGACTCAGAGATCCACACAACAGGGGGAGAGCTTCCACACAGTTTTCCTGGATGTAAGGAAACATCAGTGGTCCTTCTTAGATGTCACCTTGGGCGTCATCTTGAGGACTCATCCGAGGTACAGCCTCAGGTCTTTTCACCACCAATTCCTGGGGTGGGTTCCCATCACCCCCCTTTCACTTAGCAGTCACGCATTTAATCATTGTGCCACCACAGTCGCTCTTCTGTTTGTTACTTGCTGGACATCTTCATGCATTCATCACCAAGATGAGTAAACTCCAATGATAAATATGTTTTATAAAATGTCTTTCCAACCAAGCTCTTTAACATACACACTTTGCTCCTAGATACCTATATAATTGTCTTAAGATCTCAAAATCTGGTCTCTGGGATTCTTAAAAAGATAAGAAATTTGTAAAAGATTCAAGTATCTCACATGGAAAAACATACTTTAAAGGTTTAAACATAAGTCTTAAAACTAGCAAGAAAGAAGGAAGAGAATTAAAAAATAAATATGAGGTTCTAATATTCTTTAAAGTAAAGCACAACAGAAAGGCCGTGCTCTGAAATAAAGAAGATCACACATATTAAACAGACACTCAAACCTCTAGAACTATATGTATGTTACTCAGCTTTTAGACAGCATTTTGAATAGTAACTTGCAGTAAAAATAAAGATTCGGAGATTTACATCAGACAGGAGTATTAAAACTGTGTTACATATATTTGAATAAATAAAGATCTAACCTTTAGCGTTACTGTGAAGACTAAGACTGTAAAAACAATGGTTCCAAACGTCCAGTTTCCATATACCTGAAAGACATTGAACAATTAATTACATGATATGTAAATGAATGCATAAGCCCCCTTTAAAAACAAAATAAAAGGCAAATTTTAATCCTGCTTGTAACTGCCAAGAGTTTTGGATGACTTGCTTAGGGAAATATCTGGTCAGGCCACAGTGCTGGATTTTTCTGGGACCCTACATTTCCATGAACTGCATCTGTGGTTTGGGAGGGTCCACGTCATTACTCCATGCATCATCAAAGAAGCAGTTCACTGATGTGACAAAGGCAGGAAAAATCTAGGCCACTAACAGCTATACCCACCAAGACAGGTAGTTTTCTCAAGTCTCATGGGCTTTTTCCTCTGATAAGGAACTGAAAACTAACGCTCTCAAATATATAAACATTTGCACACAAACAGACTCACAGTTTCATAAACTACAGTCTAATTGTTTGGCTGTAACTATTTGACTTGTCAGCATGTGTACTTCAAAGAAAAGCAGATTCCAAGTATAAATGCAAACGATGGCAATGAATGGCACATATGCTTACCACACGCTGTCAAGATCTGAATGCATAACATTAAAACAGAAAGTGAAATGTGAAAGGCTTTAAAATTTTTTTAAAAAATAAGGTTAATAGAAGCAAAAAAAAAAAAGGATTCAATCTAATCATACACGGGCGTTATTATGCTGAATTGCTGATAGCAGTTCTTACACTTACTGTCATTTTAACAAACACTTAGAAGGATGGTGACATATACAGGAAAATGTTATTCATTTGGGCTTTATGAACTCAAAAGGAGTGAGAAGCGGGACAGAGGCTGGGCTGAAGCTCCCCATGCACCACCTGAAGAGTTTGCTGAGCAAATGAGTCATGTCAAGAGAACTGCAGAGGGTCTGCCTACTTGGGAGCAAACGGTTTGCAAGCAGTAGCCAGCTATATAGAGTTTCTAAACGAAAATACAATTAAAAAGTGAGTTACAACATCAGTTATAAAAGCTGAAGAGATCTTATGAATGGGCAAAGCCGACCTACAAAGTGGAATTGACTGGCCAGAAGGTACTCAGACTATGGCATGTATCCACTCAACCTCTATCATATCAATAAATTACTTTGTGATTAATCATTTTGATGGACTGCTATTACACAGATTTCTGTTTTGCTCAAATCAGTCAAGTTCCCAATTTCAAAGTACTATCCAAACTATTTCTGCAAAAGGTGCCACTGGTCCAGACTCTATACATGGTCATTGTACTCAGTAAAATCTTTCGGAACACTAGCTTAGCTTCACGCTATGATCATAAAAAAATCCCAATAAGTAGCAAAAGAGAGCAGAGTGACAGCAACGTGCAAGGCAGTGGGTTTGATCTCCCGCCATGTGGTGGGAAAAGGCCTTACCTGTCCCACATCAACAATTCTCTCTCAGAGTACCAAACCCAACCCACTGCCATCACGGAGTTGATTTCTGCTCACAGTGACCCTTTAGGACAGAGTAGAACTGTTGCATTGGTTTCCAAGGCTGTCATTCCCATGGTAGCAGACTGCCACAACTATCTCCTGCAGAGTAGCTGGCGGGTTTGAACCTCTGACCGTTCAGTTGCAGTCAAGGCAATGGCATGGCCACTGCCACCATTAGTGAGAACTGTCTTCCTCATTTCTAAGGTGAACGCTCAATCAATATGGCAGCTCCCACCTCCAACTCTCAGTGGGCAGGATCACAGCGAAGTGGGACTGAGTGAGACCACACTTTGATGTGAGAAAAGGTTTTTCTGATTTTAAAGCAAAACGCAGGAGAGTCCAAAGTCTGAAATCCTAGGAACTCTACTCACGCTAGGAAAACCTACAGCCAAGTCAAGGTTCTGTGTGTGCTCTAGTTAGTTATGTAGAACTGAAGTGGTTTTTACACCAACGTTCCTACTGGAATAAAGAAGTTGAGAAAACTAAGCACTATATATTTAGAAAAACCGTTTGCAAAGTGATTGCTGCTCCAGTACGTGCATGGCAGATTCAGTGCCAGTGGAAAAAAGTCCGGCTTATAATACTGAAAGATGTAATGACACAGCTTTTAGGTTGGGTGTTTTTTTGTTGTTTTCGTTTTGTTTTGTTTTTGCTTTTTACCTTTCCACTGTCTTCAAGGGATGAAGTCTGAAAGAGAAAGTAAGTTCCAAAGAAGAACACAGTTCCTTCAAAGGCAGCCAGAAATGTCCAATATAAGAAGGGGCCCAACTGGAGCATGGCATTGCCAGTGATTTTCCTATTGCAAAATAGGGAACAAATACAATACCGGTTAATGTCAGGTAATGTCAAAGGTGAAATGCCAAGTTGAGTATGTGGGTTGGTTGACCCATTATAATGAAGAAGGCGGAGACAGATTTATCTCCATGCAATCACTTCCTGACCAACGTACAAGAGTAAGTAAACGATCAAAAAGCTGTTAAGTTCAAACTCTGGCCACTGACCACACTATCGTAAACCATAAGAGCTTCCATTTAATGAGTCCTTCTTTTGTTGCCCAGAACAGAGTGAAGGGTCTTGTGTGCATTATCTAATTATTAAAATTTTTTTTGGCATTATCAATTTTTATCTACATAAAAACTACAGATGAGAAGTATTATCATTATTCCCATTTCTAAATCATAAAGGTTCTCACAATTGGAAGGCACTCTGTGCTGGAAGGGCTTCCCAGCTACCCCTCCAGTGGTTTTCAGAGGCTGGAAATCACACGGGAGGAGACTGCCCATCTTTCTAGAGCAGAGCACCTAGTGGATTGGAACCACATGCTTGTAGGGCGGCAGCACAACTCTTTATCACTAAGCCGCCAGAGTTCTCGATCTATTCCAGGTGGGGGTCCGTGTTTGAAAGGAGCAAAGAGCTTTGTGTTTTTTTCAAAGTTAGCAAGACTCTCGGAATTGTATGACAACATACTTTTGAATTTTGGGGGCTAGAGACTGTGACCTCAAGTACAGAACTCACTGCTAGGGGATGACGTCACGTTCCTGTGTCTTCTCCACGTACAGATGATGAAATAAAACCCACCACTTGGAAATTCAGAGGAGCTTTGGATGCTATTTGCTACTTACATATACAATCGGGGGTCTGAGGTCAATGTGTCAATGTTGATGTGCTGTTCCAGTAGACTGTAGGCCAGGATGGGTAAGGAGGTGAAGCAGATATTGTACATTGTAAGATAAGCAGCATCATACAGTGGCTGATACGAAAAACAACAGGAAACAAAGAAAGAAATGTACGATCACAAACATCTGCAAGAGGACATTTAGGTGAACGGAAAGTTGGAATTCAAACAAATGTTTCATTCTTGCTTTGTGTGACAGCCAATAGAACTTTGCAAATAAAGTCACCCTGGCAGCGATTACGAAGATGCATCATATTAACAGACCCTCCTTTCTAATAAGATTTTATTCAGAATGTTTAGATGCTATAAGCTTTATTACTAACAGCTTCAAATAAATCTTCACTAACAATTCCAAAAGATTTGTCAGTGAAAGAGGCCAAATAAGTTTGAGGCAGGAACCAGCCCTTCAAAGAAAATAAATATAGGTAGCTGTGAGTCTGTGTCACAATTTCCAAAATACTTTTGATGGTTTCAAATATCACCATCACCTTTCCATGCTACATCTGGAATTCTGAACGTGGCCATTTATTACGGATAAATCAACTGCACTGAGAAAAATGAGTTAAATGTCTATGTGTGGGTAAGACTTTCCACTCTTCTTGGTACTGGGACTTCCCAGTGCGCCAGATCAGTTTCCAACTTCCTGCTACCAGCTGTCTCACAGCACCTTCAACCAAGTCTAAACTCAAACTCATTAACATTTACTCAAAATATGCTTTGTCCTATGTTCCTTGTTATAGAGGGTAGCACTCCAATTTTTACAACCCAAGTACCTACTGGTGCTTGGTACCACTCAGGAAATCTTCTGGAATGACTTTTCCTAATGCTTACGCTCTGATCCAGTCCTATGGTCTTAACAGTATCTGCTCACTGACAATTCCCAAGCCTCTATAATCATCAGACCAGTCCTGCCCTCAACTCATAAACTCTTATAGCTAGCTGCCCACCTGACATTTACTCAAGTGTCTTAAATTAACATGCCTCAAATGGAGTATCTCTAGGCCTGCCTTTATTTCAAACTTGCTTCTCTTTAAGTCTTATCTTAGGAAACAGCAACTAAATCTTTCCAGTTACTAAGGACCAACATCTTGGAAACTTCCTCGCCTCCTCTCTTCTTCAAACACCAAAGCTAATATACGAGATTAAAAATCTATTTCGAATCGGTTCCCTTCTCAGCACCTGCACTGACAGAATCAAGGTCTTTGTGCAGCCACCACTGTTCATTCTCAACATGACGGCCAAGTTGTCCTATTAAAAGAGAAGTCAAATTGTGTCAGAGTTCTGTTCAAACTCTCCAATGGAGTCTGTGACTCTGAAAGTTAAGAAAGGAAAATGCTCTTTCAATGTGGTAGCTGTAAGGTCCCACCCAACTGCACTTCTCTCGCCCTCATCTCTAACTACTCTCCTGCCTCACTGAACTCCAGGCACAACAATGTCTCTTACAAGCAGGCCAGACATGCTCTTGCCTTAGAACCTTTTTTGCACTGGCTGGTCCCTCTGCCTGACGCATCTTCTTTACTCGGTGCATCGCATACTCCCTCATTTCTTTCCAATCTCTGCTCAAATGTTTTGTTCTCCATGAGACCAACTCTGATTGAAACTGTCACTCCTTCTGTCATGAACACGATCTATCCCCATTATTATCCACCCCCCCCGACAGCACTAACCACTTTCATTTACACAGTAACTTTAATAGGTTCACTACTTGTCTCTTCCCACTGAAATTAAAGCTCTATGAAGGCAAGAATTTGTGTCCATTTTCTTGCTGCTGTTTCTTCAGAAAAAGCAAAGCAGCCCTCTAGAACCAGGAGCTGTCCTGGTACAAGCTAGGCCTTCTACGGAGCCAAACGATGTCCGGCAGCACGCCAGCAGCATCAGATTAACACCATGCTGTGACTGTGACGAAACAAGGTGAGTTTTTAATTACATATGAACATAAACAAAACAGGAACTTTGTTCAAATATAAAAACATTCAAATACTCTATCCTGGTAATAGGAGTGACTAGTCCTTCTTTATCAACTGATTACAGCCTTAGTTCGTCTCTTTGTGCTCTTCACTCCTCATGGGTAAAACTGAACTAACCCCATTAGAAAATGACCCTCATTTCCCACAAGTGACCAATCAGGAATAAACTCTCAGTCTCGTAAACCTGCCCGCAAGTCACCTCGTCTTTTCTAGCATCCTCTTTCTGCAAGGCCCCATTATTCTCCCTGCTGTGTGTTCTTCCTCTGGCATGAGGTAAGAAATCAAAATGGATTCAACTACTGGTATTTTGCTAGTGATCTTTAGCTGAGAGCTCTGTCCGTTTGGAGCTCGCAGAACAGAATCTGGAAGTGTTAAGAAATCTGGAGCTATGCTCCCTCACTCAGTGCCGTCAAGATGGAAACGACTCAGAGCGAACCCTCCAGTGGGTTCTCAGAGGTGGTGAATCACAGGTGAGGAGACTGCCCACCTCTCTCCCTGGGAGCAGCTGGTGGATTTGACAGCTAAGGGATGCAGCCTTTGGGTTAGCACTGCAACTTCCTCTGGACAAGGCCACCAGAGCTCTCGGAAGTGATCCTGAATCGTTGGGGAGCGATTTAACCTGGCCACTGTAAACCTTCCCTCGTGGGGGGTGTCTTCTGTGAGCCTTATTTTGATGAAAGCACTGATGGAGTACAGTATTGACCTATGCAGGGCTGGACATGGTCCACACAACCATTATCTGTGCGCTGAATAAATGCTATCCTTTATGCACAGATTGCTTATAATGAAATGCATCTGAATCGGGCTTTAGATTAGTATCCCAAGTATTTTACATCAATGGCTACAAAAGGTTCAATTCTGTCATCATAGGAGTTCTAAAAAAATCTTTGACTAGAAAAGTCAGGGATGATTTGAACGGAGCATTAATTCACTCTCCAACATTTGCTGTGCATCTACAGTGTGAAGGACTGGGGACAGAATAATGCTTCATCCTCTGTCCCCCAAGGAATGAAAATTCTGAAGGTGGAAGCAGATTGGTGTATGGACAGAGAACTGGCAGGAGCGAGAGGTGGGACCATAACTCTTACCTGTGGTAGAGATAAGAGATAATACATGCAACGTTCTCAGTGCAGTGAAAAATACAGCTATATACAGAATATGAAAGCGCTTCCCACATGCTTTCTGTAAACAATGACTTAAACTCAGCAAAAATATTTCAGAGAATTAAAAGGAGGGGGGAAGGCACTATATTCCTTTTAAGTCTCAGAGGAGGGAACTCGTCCATGGCACACAATATCACATTTCCACTGGAACCTACTTATTATCACTAAAGAGAAAACTGAAAAAACAAACCAAAATCCCAAACTCCGACTGACTGCTGTATAATTTAGTCCAGAATTTCACTCAAGTAAAAGAGGCATCAATCTACTTTTGTTCTATTATATCATTTGAAGGTACATGTGAGATAAAGCTAATTCATAGATGCATAATTAAAAGGGCACAGATCTTCCCCTCAAACAAACAGGTTTTCGCTGATAATACTGTTTCTTGTTGGACCTGTCACAAATGTTGTCAAAAGTATCAGCCTAGCTATGTTCAAAGAAGAGGTGCTTTTGTGCTTAAGGTCTTTACGTCCCAACCCCACATCTTCATCCTCCCTAGAATGCGCTCCAATTTCCAGGGTTGCAGAAAACACGGGATACAATCCTGGGTTGAAAAAGGCTGACCACCAGCATGGGCTCCAAAAAGATTTTGAATAAAGGCCACTACAATCCATCCACGTTACGATCTAACCAGGCACAAAATAAAAGATGCCTCACATCTCAAAGAAGCAAGCCTTCATTTGACCTCGTTTGATTTTCCTCTAAGATGTTTGCAGAGCTCAGTCCCTCATCTCCTCTGAGTCTCTGCCCAGAAGCCACCGCATCAGCAAGAACTACCAGATCATCCCAGAGAGAGAAGCAGCCCCTCCACCAGCCACTTTATAATTAGTGCTCCCTTCAGAGACCAGATCAGTGCCCAACATTAATGACTTTCCCCTCCATGTGGTCTGTCTCTCCTCTCACTACGTGCAAGTTCCATAAAGGTAAAGGAGTTGGTTTAGATTCCTGTTTTATCCGTAACACCTAGAATCTATGTCTGGTATGTAGTAGGAGCTCCAGACATATTTGTTAAAGGAATTAAACACCAAACCCACTCAAACGGATACCTGAGCACGTAAGCTAAATAAGCCTAGGACAGCACTGAGAGTGAATCTCAGTAGGCTTCCTAAGCCAAAAGTTCTTTCTTTTGCCATACCACTATTAAGCACAAACAACCTTTTCAAAAGATAAGAAAACAACAAAAGTCTTGGAAAATAAGGCAAAGGCTTCAACTCAAACAGGTTAACTTCTCTCTAGTACTTTTCTACATATTAGGCAAGGAAGAAAAATTAAAGTGTATTTTTAATATTTGCTTTCATTCAATAAGTGAAGGACTGGTAAAATTTTGGTCAATGACAATTTCAATGTTTAAGAAAATTGACTTTTATACATCATCAGAATTTATAAAATCTTCTCTAGCCAGGAGAACAAACAGGTCTCGGAGAGGGTGAAACCAAGTTTCTCCCTGGAGGCAAGAATTTTGAGGCCAGGAGGGAGGGACCAGTCCTTGGAGAAGGACATCATGCTTGGAAAGGTGGAGGGACAGCAAAGGAGAGGAAGACCCCAGATGAGAGGGACTGATTTAGTAACTGGGGCAATGGGATTAGGTGTGTTGGAGTCAGTGAGACTGGTCCCGAGCTGTTGTACACAGGGTTGCTATAAGTCACAGGCAACTCAATGGCACATAACAACATTTATATATTTATATATTTTTTTCTTATTGTTAGGTGTCATTGAGTCAGGTACAACTCATAGCGACCCTATGAACAGTAGATCTGAACTCTACACAGGGTCGCTATGAGTTGCAGGCAACTCAACAACACATAACAATGACACAACAGTTAATACTATTGTTGTTGTTGTTGTTGTTATGTGCCGTCGAGTCATTTGCGACTCATAGCGACCCTATGCACAACAGCCCTAAACCCTGCTCTATCCTGCGCCAACCACACCGCCTCTGACACACCCATCCCGATTACCCCAGTCACCGAATCAATCCATCTCATAGAGGGTCTTCCCCTCCTGCGCTGTTAGTCTTGAATATAAGAACGTTAGTGGCATTGCATCAGCTGGTGAATGGCTAACTAGGGCATAGTCAGCTTCACTGAGGCTGATGACACAACACTGATGATGTCAAAGGCAGCATAACAAACAGCAAAGAGGTATGTTCAAGAAAAAGAAAATTATTCTCCATTAGGAAGAGTAATGTATACATATGTTCATAGCAGTGTTATTCACAAGAGCAAGAAAATGGAAACAGCCCAGATGCCCATCAACAAATGAATGGATTGAGAAACTGTGGTACATTCATACAATGTAATACTGTGCAGCAATATGGAACAAGTTCTTAAATTACCACCTAGAAGAGTCTAGAGAGCACGATGCTGAGTGCAATAACTCCATCACATAAGGAGAAATACTGCCTAAGACCATTATTATAAAAACAGAATGGTAACTAGTAAGATGTGTATAAATGTTTAAAAGGAGAAAGGGAATGAGGGGAGGGAGAAAGAAGGGGAAAAATGACTGGGAGAGCAGAGGCTGGTGGGTGGAGGGTGAGGGAAGGAATGGAAAAGGCTCAGTGGGGACTTGAAAAGCCAGGGTAATAATAGGCATAGAGCAATGGTCATTAATGATGTAAAATATAATATATGAATGACTGGATAAAATATAATGTACATGAACGAAACACAATGTATTTCATGACTGCATAAAGCACGAGCATGAAACAAGATGTCTATAAATTTTTTTGTACAAACCAATACAACATTGTTTAAAATGGCCAACAACTGAGGGGGGGAACCCATTAGAAGTCATGAGAAAGTGTGCTTTTGAAATTTAGAAACTGAGTCGTCAATACTTGAGGTGATAGTATAACACAGCTTGGCAAGATCACTAAAATGCTCATAGATTTCTGGGTCAGAAAAATTACAGCCTCTGTACTTAGCGATACATCCACTACAAGTAGTGTAAAATCTGGTTTATGCATCAAACTAACATACTGTATATTTGACAGGCAGTAAATTTTGAAACAACAGAGGGCAAAAAATTTAGAGTTTCTTCAAGTAACCCAAAACTCCCAAATAAAACATGTCTCCAACCTGAGACATGTAAGGGAATTTTATTTAGTGAAATATTGAGCTATCATATTTTAGGACATTTTGAAAAATATTCTACACATTGATAAAAAGGAAAAACATGTAAAATGTAAAAAGTCTTTTTAGAAATAAGAGCTCTGCCACGAACACTGATGTTTACTGTAGCTTTTACACAATAGCAAAGAAATTGAAACAACCCGTGTCCAATAACAAACAAATGGATAAACTGTGGCACATTCACATGATGGAGTACTATACAACACTTAAAAACAAATACTGTGTAAGACCACTGCTATAAAAGGATGGAGAAACAAATCCATCCATTATTTACATACAGAGAAATCAATCTAATATGGTTACCAGGGAGGAAAAGGGGGTGGGGGGGGGATCTAGAAAATGAACTGATAGACAATGAGCACTTACTGGGATGGGTAAAGGGAAGGACAATGTGAAATGAATAAACGATCAGATATTGTATAGATTGTGGACCTTGTGTAACTGGTGTTGCACAACAGCATGTGCATGAATGGTTATTTGGGAAAAAACCCCAACATTCTTTTTAAAGGCATCTCAATTACAAGAAGATGTACCAATTAACTTTCGAAAAGAAACAAATTATAAGAAAGCTATGTTATTGACAAAACCCAGGCACAGACAATCATCTGTTGAACCCCAAACCAAATCAAACAATTTTCTTTTTGGAAAATTGTCTTACTTCTCTAATGCCTACAATCTAATAAATAAAATGTCATTTATTCAAAGTAAATATAGACCATAATATAAAAAGTAATTTGATAAACAAACCTGTTGTGAAAATCCACAGAAGAACTGGTACAAAAATTGTGGCAAAATGAAACAAAGGTTCTGGAAAAAGGTAAGAAAAAGTGTTAATATTTTAATTTAGTGAGCTATTTAAAAGAGAACCTTAAAGTGCCAGGATGCAATAAATCTCTATTCCAAAGGTATAAGAAAACTGCTCAAAATTTGTAAGAGTAAGTCTTATTAAGACCAACACTTGCTCTAACTAGGTAGAAAAAGATTGCTTTATGAGAATCTCTTGCTATTTTTATCACAGGGAAGAAATGCTCTCATCCAATATGAACAGCTAATGGTATTGTACCTTAAATGCCAATTATATTTGCAAAATCCTTATAAAAGAGATTTATATAATTGTGCAAATTTATATTTCAAAGGTAGTTAATACCAAGATTCAGGAGATTACAATCTATTATGTTACTGATAGTATAAACAACTGCCATCAACCAATGCCTTTATTACTATCTCATCAAATAATTAGCATGTAGTTATTGAACACCTACTACACGCAAAGATAATACTATGGGTGACAAAAAATAAAACACATAAACTTCCTTCACTTCTGGGATTTAGTTAATTGCTGAACACTATAAACAAGCTGATAAAAAAATACAAGCTGAGAATTTGTATGGCAATAAAACCCAGTAAATGTGACTATAAAATACTTAATTTAGTGTCTTCAGGTAAAACTGCTGCTGTCGTTAAGTGCCCTCGAGTTGGTTCTACCTCATGGCTAACAATAAAACAAAATGCTGTCTGGTTTTGTGCTACATTCACAACTGTTGCTCTGTGTGAGCCCACTGTTGCAGTCACTGTGTCAATCCATCTCATTTAGGGTCTTACTCTTTTTCACTGACCCGTCTACTAAGCTTGATAGTAGAGGATAGTCCCTCCTGATATTGTTGTCGTTATGTGCTGTCAAGTTGCCTGCAACTCATAGCGACCCTATCTATGTACAATAGCTCTGAAGCCTGCCCTGTCCTGAGCCGGTCTCACTGACTCTGAGACACCTCTGTCCATTGTCCCAGTTACTGTGTCAATCCATCTCATTCGAGGTCTTCCTCTCCTGTGCTGTCCCACCACCCTTCCGAGCATGATATCTTCCAACGATCGGTCCCTTCAGGCCACACACTCAAAATATGTGAGAGAGAGCTTCAAAATCCTAACCTCCCAGGAGAAACCTGGCTTCATCCTCTCCATGACAGACCTATTGCTTTCCTTGGAGGTCCACGGAATGTTCAAGAAGACTCTTCTCCAAGGAGCTCAGGTGGCCTAGTGGTAAGAAGCTGCACTGCAATCCCAAAGACTCTTCTCCAGCACCATCAATTCTTCTGTCATCCTTAGTCATTGCCCAGCTCTTTAGATGCATAGCAAGTAACTGCGAAGACCATGGCCTGGATCAGGTACATCACAGTCTCTAGACTGACATCATTGCTTCTCAGTACTCTGGAAAAGTCCCTGACAGCAGATTTACCTACTGCAATTCATCTTTTGATTTCCTGATGGTTGGTGCCAAGAGTGTTGATTGTAGAGCCAAGCAAGCTGTAATTGTTAACCACCTCAATCTCTTCTCCATCCAACACGGTGCTGACAATTGGCCCAGTGGTGAGAATCTCTGTCTTCTTGATGTAGAGCTTCAGTCCATATTGAAGACTACAGTCCTTGACCTTCTGCTGCAAGTTATTCAGCTCCACCTCAGTTTCAGCAAGCAAGGTTGTGTCATCTGCACATCATATGTTGCTGGTGAGTCTTCCTCCAATCCTGAGGTCACATTCTTCCTCATAAAGCCCAGCTTCCCCAATGATCTGTTCTGCTTATAGACTGAAAAGGTATGGAGACAAGATGCATCCCTGATATATTCACTTCCTGATTTTGAACCATGCAGTGTCTTCTTGCTCTGTTCTGAGGACTGCGTCCTGGTCCAAGTACAGGTTCCACAAAAGTACAATCAAGTGTTCTGTGATTCCCATTATCCTCAAGGTTTACTACATTTTGTTGTGATCCATACAGACAAATGCCTTTGCGTAGTCAATGAAACACAGACAAGACATGCTCCCTCTGGTACTCGTTGCTTTCTGCCAAGATCCATCTGACATTGATGATAACGTCTCTAGTGCCACAGTCTCTTCTAAACCTAGTCTGCATTTCTGGTAGTTCTTGGTCAATGTACTGTTGCAGTCGTTTCTGGATAATCTTCAACAGGATCTTGCTTGTGTGTGTGATATGAGCGATGTTGTACGATGGTTTCCACACTCTGTCGGATCACCTTTTGATAACATGTCCTAAGTATGTCTCATGAAGTCTTCCCATCCTTGCTTCTAAGGAGCACGATGATTGAACAAGTTTGTTCTTTGGGCAGTCGACGGCATATTCAATATGCCACATTCAAAGGCATCAATTCTTTAGGCTTTCTGTTTCATTATTCAACTTATACGTGTTGTGAAGCAATTGAAAATATCATTGACTGGGTCAGGTGTACTTTAAAGTGACAGGTTGGGTCGTTGGTAGATTATTTTGCAAGGCAGTACGACATTTGTTTTCTCCTTTTAAAAGAATTTTTAATTGGTTTATATGCACTCATTCATATACATTTTATTTCCTTCATCTACACTGTGTTTTATGCAATCATTTGTATACAGTGTTCATTTCTGTACAATTTATATGACCATTTCTATACATCATGTTTTATATAGTTTTTATCGATCTATGACTTCCATCAAGAACCATGTCACCAAGAACCTACTGAGACTCGCCTCATTCTGAACACCTATCCTGTACTTATCTCCATGTTTCCCAGGCTCATCCTCCCCATCCAGTCTCTGCAGCATTCACTGTCTGCTCATTCTGTTTCTGCTCTTGGCCATCCCCCTGCCCTCCAAACCCCTCAGTTTTTGAAGTGATGAAAATGTTATATAAATACACAATGGTGATGGTTGTACAACATAGTGAATGCAATAAAAGTCACTGAACTACACACTGAACAAAGGTAAAATTGGCAAACTTTTTATCTATTCATGTTGTTACGTGCCCTCAAGTCAGAATCAACTCATAGCTGACTCTCCAGAGGGTTTTCAGAGGCTGTAAATCATGTGGGAGGAGACTGCTCATCTTTCTCCTATGGAGCAGCTGGTGGATTCGAACAATCTTCCTTTTGGTTGGCAGTGCAACTCTTTACCATTAGAGTTCCCTATGTTCTTCTTCCTAGTTCAAACTAAGAAGGTTGAAAATATTGGCAAAGATCTCAGGATAAAAGTCTAAAAGGACTACTACTACTACATCAACAACTGAGATGATAATGGGCTAGAGACCTTAATAAAGACAGAGTGCATTACTTACACACATAATCCCCCAAACTATTGACCACCAGTCCACATTAATCTTTTTAATGTTTGTCTTTGTTCTGTCTTAACAGAACATTCCTTCCATCTGGTGGCAGATGCATGAATTGCAGGCCAAAACCTAAAGAGGCAAACCAAGCCTTGGAGCAGCAGGGCCAGATTACAAGGAAGATCTCTATGGCAAATCTTTATGGGAAATTCTACTAGGCACAAAAACGGGTCTGTATTTGCCTAGAACAGAAGAAGAGTGAGACATGGGAAGAGGAAATAATGTGTGGCTAACTGCCTCACTGAAAACTCTCACCATTGCCATAAGACCAGACTGGATAGTGTCCAGCTACCCTTACTGAACATTTTGATCAAAGTTTCTAAAAAATAATCATGATCAAATGGGGGGAAATATAAAACAAAATTTAAAATTTTCAGACCCTAGACTAAGAAGTCATGAAAAGTGGATGCACCTCAAAACAATTGCGCTGAGGCAGTAACTATAGAAAAAAATACCCTTTAGCGTCCTTAATGAACCAGACGTCATTGTTGTGTGCGGCACAGTCAGAACTGACTCACAGATGACCCTCCAATGGGTTTTCAGTGGCAAATTAGCTCCCAAGAAGCAACTGGGGGATTCTAACCCTGAGTCTTTGAGATTGCAATGCAACCTCTCACCACTAGAGCTCCCTACTAATTAGTTTAGCTTAATTAGTATGAAATGTGTGCCTTTAGCCTTGTGCTCTTTTAAGATCTATCTTTATGGCTTCAAGCTGAGAAGAGCAAGTCAGAAGGTCAGGCAGAAATCTTAGTGGGCAGTGGCACTGATATTATGTTAATGAGGGAGGAACAACTCAGAAAAGAGGATAATGGTTGCAACTCAAAGAATGAAAACAATGTCACAGACTTGTATACAGAGAAACTGTTGAGTAGGCTTATGTTCTCCTGTGCAGGCTCTCAACCACAATTAACAAAAAAATGACCCAAACAACCACAATAAACCAAAAAACCCCAAATTATTAAAACTAAATGAAATGTATGTTAAGTGACAAAAACCAGGTGCAAAAGACTACATATAATTTCATTTGTATGGGGCATTTTGATACATTAAATTTCACCACTGAGACAAAAGAAAAACAAAGATTGAGGAGGAGGAAGAGGGATGGAAAACAACAGAAATTATGTTGAGCGAGATACTGCTGAATTTACCATCAGTTAAATTACCAAATTTTGTCACATACCTTATAGAAGAAATACTGTACAAGGTGTGCTATTCTCACATAGTACAGATGCCCATGAGCCAATAGCAGTTTTTTCAAATGTTTAAACTTAGGAACAGCATAGTCACTATTCCTGGCTGCTTGGCGACCTTCTTTGCCTTTAATACCTTAAAAGAAGAATATCTCTTTAGGGTCAGTATTTTCTAGAATAAGCAACCCTTGGAATTTTTATTTTAGGATACTACACTTGCTTAAGCATTACAATTCAACTTTATACCTTACCTTTTTTTTAAAGTTCTTTCTTTAAAGAAATACCTAAATTTTCTAGTAAAATATAAAATTAAGTTTAATCCGCAAGTATGCATTTATAACATAACATGAAACAATGAGATAGAACCATTATTTTACTCAACACAAGGTGAAAATTATCTAGAGGGAGAAAAATTAAACTCAAAAGACATTTTTAAGCTATGTAGGAAGTAATTAATTGTGCACTACCACAGGCTTACACGCTATATTAAAGCAACTCAAAGACCTGGGATTTATGTCCTAGGAACTCAAAATTGAATAGTTACAATGAAAAGATGACAAAATCCAAAATCTTTTCACTGAATGAAACTCTAAGTAGCACAGCCAAAGTATTTCATAAACTCATGTAGCTTTAGACCATTTCCACACCAGATAATTATAATGAGTACAAGTTCAGAGGTCTGCAACCAATAGGGCAACTTTGAGACGGGGCGGGGGGTGGGGCATTGTGAATTCAAACAGCAGCAAAATGAGTCTTAAGATTCTAATCTCCTATCTCTCCATTCCACTTGAGAACAAAGTACAGGGGTGTTAGGTTTATTGCCTAAAAATGGTGCAGTGGTGAAAAGCTGTTGTTGCATTTAAACATATAAAGTCATCACTACAACCCAAACCACCCACAAATGTTGTTCTGTGGAAAACCAGACAACCAATTAGCACTGCTCAGTCCCAAAGAATTAAATATCTCAAAAGATACAGTGCAGCAACATAAGCAGGTATTCTGACCGAGAGAGGAAAATCAATACAATTTCATGCATGCTGTGAAAGTGAGAGCTAAACAATCAATTGTGCTGCCAGCACGTTTGGGAAATTCACTTTTACTTGGTCAATATGAAACTAGCCCCTCTCCCAGTCCTGCTATATGTGCAGGCCCTCTGGATAGACTTGTTTCATGATCAGATGAGGCCCTCCATTCGACTGACAATTATCATCCCCAAATTAAAGTTCAGGAGGAGCAACCAAAACAATCTCTCTAGAATACAAGGCCGTTCTACCTAAAACAATACTGAAAGGTTTCAGCTATCATCTCAGAAGATGTTTCTTACCTATGCCCACATGGGATTCCAAGATCATACTAACATCATTGGCACCATCACCTATCGACAGTGTTATTGGACTGCCTTTTAAATTCTTCACCATTCTGACAATCTAAACATTAAATACAAAAGAAGTATAGAGAAGGTCAAAGCAGAACCTGCGAATGGACCACATGTGGAGTTTATGACTCATTCACACCTGTAAATGGAGGCCTTTCAAATGGGTCATTTATGCACGTATATCCCACAGTCAAGGATTCGCAGACACAGAGGACCACAACCATTACTTGTTTCTGGTTCTGTGCTTGTGTGAATTAGCAAAAGCCTGGCTTATTAATTATATTAACGAACAACACATGCCACACTTTTGTTACTGCTTCATATGTCTTTTCAAGTCAGTTGAACGTTTTCCAATGAAGGCCAGAAACAATTTGGGGTGGCGAGTACAGAGCCGCTGGAAGAAACGTGGGAAGTCAGAACAGTACTTTTGTTCACCTGTCCCTCCCTCCCTGGTGGTTTTCCTCAATATAGGTGTACCTTGATTCTCAATTGTCTAGTTTATTTCTTGTTAAAGTCTTGCTTCCATCTGGCTATCTATTAATCTTTAGTTCATTTCCTGCTGCGTAATGTTATGGAAACACTAGTGTTTTAATGACATGAACTTGACTTGGCGGTGTGGGAAAAGAGATTCTAGGGGAAGGGTGAAAGCTGGAAGACCAGCAGGGAGATTGGCGGGGGGGGGGGGGCACAGAGGAGGAAGTCTGTTAAATCATATGGAATTGGACCAGGCTGGAAAAGAGAGATTTTCAAAGCTGATATCAAATGAAAGTTATGACAAAAGGCAGGATGTCAACAGGGCTTAGTGACGACGAATCAGAACCTTGCGCTCTCCTGCATCATACAGGGTAGAGGAGTTGAAAAATACTGTGTATAGAAAGTGGCCCTGGAACCTTGGATTATATCCCGAGTTAAGTTTTTTGTTAGGTCAGGAGGAGTCCAAATGAGGAAACATGAAAACATGAGAAAAGCTTTGTTAAGTGGACTTGGGTTACACCATAGTGAAGGGACACAAAGTGAAGAAACCAGAAGAGGGGGGAGGGTTTTCTATTACAAAGAGAGCACAGTTCTTCTCTGACACACATATGGTCTCCATGGTTGGGGTGACTTGAGAGCAGTTTGGAATGGACACAAAGCATGTACATATGTGGTAAAGTCCAAGAGAATGATCTCCAACTACCATCTTTCATCTTAGGAACTAGGTGACCACAGAAGGTGTCTGAGCGAGAAATGATAGAAGCACTAGTGTTGTAATACAGTGAACCTGGCAGTGTGGGAAAAGAGATTCTAGGGCAAGGGTGAAAGCTGGAAGACCAGCAGGGAGATTAAAAACAGAAGAAAAATGTCTGCTAAATCATAAGGAATCGGACTAGGCTGGCAATGACAGAGCTGAAAAGCTGGTATCAAAATGCAAGCTATGACAAAAGGCAGGATATCAACAGGACTTGGTGACTTTACATGGAATAAGGAAGAAGAGAGGGGTCAAAGGTAGTTTTGAAAGGCTGGGAACAAATGAAAAAATGGCCCTGGTAACAGAAATAATGAGGATACGGGGAGAAACAAACTACTAGCCTGAAGGAAGAAAATGGGAAGATGTGTTTTGGATACTACAATTTCATGACAGTGGGAAAGCCACGTGAAATGATCTAATAGGCAGCGAGAAGTATGAGGCTGAATGTTAAGACGGAGTTCCAGTCAGAGATATATCAACGAGGCTCAAAGACGTGAACGTGCTAATCCAGACACAGAGCATCGTCATAGTAAAGAATAGGATGGATGACCCAAACCTAGAGAACGCCAGCAGTTAGAGAAAAGAAAGGTGATAAAAAAAGAAAAGAAAACGACGCTGGGTTGCCAAAGAAGAAAAAAAGTCCGAAGCTTGAGCTGTCACAGAAACCAAGGGAGGAGAGTTTCAAGAAAGATCTAATTGGTACCATCAAATGCAGTGGAGAACGCAAGACAAGTCAGCCTTCAGGGTAAGATGAGAAAAAAGAAGGCACGGGGCTAATGTAATAGGGGAGTCGGGGGCAGAGGAACGGAGACAGCAGGCACCAAGTGCTCAACTAGCAGTTGGGAAGGTGAGTTACTGAGTAGCCGGGTTTGGGCAGACAATAAGGTGAAACCTAACTTTAAATTCAAATTGATGCCCAAGTTTGACAACAAAGAGAAAGAAGCCAAGGACGACAAGATTAGGTGTCAACAGTCACTCATATATAAACAGATACCCTTGACTATTTGGACATATGTCTATATAAGAACCCAGAGTGGAACATTAACATAAATCCATAGTTACCTGGGCTTTTTGTAAGGGTGCCATCCGGCAGCAGAGCACTGCCGTGCACTTCATACAAATTTGTAGGAAAATGTTTTTGTAGTTGTTTGAGCTAGAGTCTTGACTAGAATTCAATATGAGTGACAATGTGGAGCCATCAATGATTAATCCATATTCCTGGTGCTCTGTCCATGCTCTGAAAAGAAAAAGAAAAAGCTGTAGTTAAATCCATTATATGTTTGTGTTTAGAGCCCTGCTTTATTTCCTTTTTAAAACGAAAAAAGGATGAGTTTCAGAAGAAAGAGTCAACAATCTGATCTCTTAACCTGTAGATTCTAAGAAAGTAGTTACCTCAAGCAATGGCACAACTGAGACTTTCAATGACATCTCTAGGACCCAAGCTGCCCATGGAGATGACTGAGCTCTAACTGATATAAAAATAAAAATAAAGGAGGTCGAACAGGAATACAAAGACAAATCTGGAAATTATGGATCAAACTCTGGTATGAAGAAAAGACATCAATATGAAAATGTCTTAGCAACACAGGAAACGCGAAAAATGATTTTGGGGTAAATAAATTAAAAGCGACCATTTGCTAAAATATTTTTGACTAAGGGACAGAACCGATTAATAGAACATGGCTTCTCAAATGTAATGGGCTGCCTGATAGACATGATGTTCAAGAAACCCCATACAATACTGACGTAGGCTCCGTAAAGAAACAGCACCGTACATAATTCACACGAAGGATAAAGTACTGGCAAGCACTGCCATTTTCACTGGTTCTCAACCTGAGCTCTCTGGACAGCTTTACAAAATGCCCAGCTCTGGCATCTCTGCCCACATCAAGTAACTCAAGAGTAGCTGGGCCAGGGTTTGGCCACAGGTGTGATTTTAAACTTCTCCAGGTGATTCAAGGAGGAGCCATGGTGGTACAGGGGTTAAATGCTTAGCTCCCGATCAAAATGGCAGTGCTGTGAACTCTCCAGCTCGGAAAGACAGGGTAAAAAGAGGTCAGAAAAGCAAACTGCTAGAGCGGTGCAGTCGGCAATCAGGTTGAAAAGGTGGATTTAGACCTCTGCTTTGACCTGCTTGTGTGAAAATGGGAGAAACAGCCATGGTTTCTGAGGAGAGCTGAGGTTTATTTAAGGATCCTTCATCAGGCAGAGGGGTTTAAGAGATACGAGGGACGTGGTGCTAGGAAGTGATGTGGCGCATTGGCTTTGAGAAACGGGGACATGAAGGAGGCTTGGGTGCAAAGCTGTAGCTGGTTAAAGTGATTCTAGGTCTGAAGTCTGTGTAATTGAAAAAAAGACTGTGCCCAACTCCCAAAGATGGGATGATCTGGTACAGCGAGGAAGGTTTTTCTACGTTTTGGTTTTTTAAAGCTCTGGCTTTTAAAAAAGTGTTCCCAGAGCTGTAGAATGGACAAGCAAGATACAAATAAGCATGATTTAATAACTAAAGGGGAAAAGATTTATCACAGTTAATAAAAATCTGCTTACTCTCATTGTTATCTAAGAATCAGAACAGTAACAACTATAAGAATAATAATTGTTGTTGTTGTTATGTGCCGTCGAGTCGCTTGGGATAATTAGGATCAATTTTAGAGAACTACGGAAACCCTCAAGAATGTGCAGTATTTTTTTTTAGCTGTGGTAAAACAGACAATATTACAATATAAATACAATATGTAAAAATTCACTATTTCAAAGTATACAATTCAGAGGCATGTTATCACCACAGGCATCGCAACCACTCCCACTATTTGCTTTTCAGAACCTTATACTCTGGAGTTTTCATTTTAAAGCCTGTTAAACCTCAGGGATGGGGACAGATAAGTATGAACCCTGGAACTGGGTAGACTCGTTCCCCCCTCACTAGTTACGTGATCTCAAGTAAACTGCTTCCCGTCTCTTAGCTTCAGCTTCCCTATGAACTGCAGCACTGGGCTCAAGTGGGTCAAAGATGATGAGGAAGGCACCAGATAGGGCAGGGTTCAGGTCTGTCGCTCACAGAGCACCCAACAACAACAAAATGGAGAAAATAAGAGGGCTTTAATGAATTCCTGTACAGATTAAACGAGCAGCATTTTCTAAAGCACTTACTATTGTGCCTGGAACAAGTGTATACTTGCTCTAGTTGGTTCCGACTCGGACCAAGCCTCCAGGGCTGTACATCTTTGCAGAAGCAGACCGTCTCATCTTTCTCCCAAGGACTGGGGTTCAGGCTTCTAACCTTTTGGTTTAGCCTTAACCACAGTGCCGCCAAAGCTTGTAATCAAGAAGTAGTAAATATTGCCTAGGGTCCTTTGGGGTTAGTCCAGACGCAACCTGTGGTATTCTAGAAGGGGACATGAAATTGCTTATGGCTCAGATAAAGGTACATATACCTGATGGGGTGGAGGGAGGGGACCCCTGTTGTGCCTGGAAAAAGCATTGCTTAGTCTTAGTCTTGATCTGAGCAAGACACAAGAAGTCATCTTATTTCAGGATGGCCTCAGGCAATCGGGTTTAGAAAACATCTGTGGGATCTGATTGTTAAAGTGCCCTGATGTTGGTCAGTTGAGCTGTCCACTTGTAACGTACCCCAGAGGAAAACAGTCCGAGTCTTAGAGGGTCAGTGGTTGAAATACATTTCTTTTAGGCAAAGGGAATGGCTGGAATGTCAGAGAGATTTCTCTAAGAGGAGCAGTTTAATCAATGGTTAAAAAAGATAATACCTTAATACAAAATAACTGATGACTTTTATATTGCTGTTCCTTGCTACCCTTAAATGAACGCAAGTAGATTTCTTGACACTAAAGAAATATCTGATGTGACTGGCAATTGGGAGGGGGCGAGGGTAGTAAAGGAAAATATTTACATTCTAAATATATCAGGTTAGGGAGTTTTTATAGAAGCAAAGTATATTTGGGAGTGCTGGTGGCCTAGTGATAAGAAGCTGTGCTGCAATCCCAGAGGCACACAGCTCGAATTCACCAGTTGCTTCACGGGAGAAGGATGGGCAATTTCCTCCCGTGTGATTAACCGTATCTGACAACCTGCTGGAGGGTCAGCTGTGGGTCAGATCCGACTCAACAACAAGATAAAGGCAAGTAGGTGGTCTGGACAAGGTTGACTCTTGCCCAACAGGAAGTAAGAAATAAACTGCTCTCACTCCATAGACTGTACTGTAGGAACTTGACAGGTTTACAGAGGCTGTAGGTCACACGGGAGGAGAAGCTCCGAGTGAGAAAGAGAAGACCCTTTACAGCCTCAGAAATCCAATGGAAGGTGGCCATGTATCAGCAGTACTTCAAAGACTGGGTTTCTAGTAGTTTTGTAGGCTTATTTATGCTTATTTACTAACGTTTTTCCCCACATGAAAGATACTGCTTAGGTATGACCACCATCTTCTATCCCTTCCAACTCCACAGCGCTGCCTTCTTTTCAAATTTATGCCAGAGACAGAGTATTCAGTAAGCACTGTAAGCACTGGCCTGCTTGTGTTAATTTTCTAATCTGTCGTGAACTATTTCACAAGCACAAGTACGTACGTGCCTACCTTTCCTACCGCGTCACCCATCTGTCCCCACTGGAATTCTAGGGGATGATAGTCTCCACACAAAGTGGCTCCAGAACTTCAAAATGCATAGAAACTCTTAAGAGACTCCAATTTAAGAGACTAGAGAGGAGCAATTTTTCTTATTATCATGGACTATGACAGGATATCAATGCAAAACATCTAGGTCCAGAACATTCAGAAATTCAACTACTTTTCTAAACTTCAAGATTTGGAGGATTTTCTTTTAAGAGGAGAAGATGGAAAATGCCTAATCATCTCAAATAGACTATATTAAGCAGGTCCTCAGGGAAGGTTTTAATTTACAAGCATGAAACATCTGCAGAGAATGAAAAATTACACAAAAATGGACCATTCTTTCGTAGGCAAAACCAAGCCTACCCCGCTGCCATTAAGTTGCTTCTGACTCATCAAATCCCTGTAGCAGGGCTTCTCCACGGGGTTTCAGAGGCTGCAACTCTTCTACAGAAGCTAATGGACTGCCCTATCTTTCTCACAAGAATAGACTGTTGTTGTTGTTGTTATGTGCCATCGAGTCGTTGGCGACTCATAGCGACCCTATGTACAACAGCCCTAAACCCTGCTCTGTCCTGTGTCAATCGCACTGTCTCCGACACTCCCATCCCAATTATCCCAGTCACTGAATCAATCCATCTCATAGAGGGTCTTCCCCTCCTGCGCTGTCCCTCTACCCCACATGATGTCCCTCTCCAAAGACCTGTCTCTCCTTACAACATGTCCAAAGTATGTCAGGCGAAGCCCCCGAATCTTTGCCTCCAAGGAGCAGCCTGATTTAACCCTCTCTAGGATGAATCTGTTTGTTTTCTTGGCAGTCCATGGTACATTCAATACTCTTCTCCAGCACCACAGCTCAAAGAATAGACTAGTAGCTTTAAATTGTTGGGCCTTTCAGATAGCAGCCGAGTACTTTACACACCACACTACCACGTCTTCTCTTCTGCGTCTGTACCTGAGATTAAAACCTATGCCAATGTGCATACACAGGAAACTAACGCGCTTTCTTACTTTTTCAGGCTTCTAGTGCTTTTAGGAAATTCATGCAGCAACTTTTTTCGATATTCTATCAATAACTCATGCAAGCGGTCTTCTTTTCTTTCACTTTCTTCGATGGTTTTCGTGGTCAGCTCCAGGAGCTCGGTGCTGGTCTGGAAGAGGCGGCAGGCATAGCACGTGGATTTGGCGGTCTCCATCTTGTCCCCCGTGAGCACCCAGACCTTCAGACCCGCTGCATGCAGAGCTTCAATGGTCTCGGCAGCTTGATCTTGAAGCCTGGAACACAAAGCAAACCTTGTTATCCTCTAAACCTCCTGACAGGAATTCAGCAAGGCAGCTTGTTATCGAGAATATTTTTATACTTCACAGCCTTTCTCGAGTCCTGACACCTTATTACAGTTGGTGTTCTTATATATACCCAACTCCTTCTGAGAATGTTGTCTCTGACTTCATTTTACTTATTAACGTGAATGTCAAATAATGAGGTTTAGAAGATTTGATGACATCTTCCCTGCCTCCCATAATTTTCAATGAGCTTCTGATCATGGAATTGTTGTCGTTGTTATGAGCCGTCAAGTTGCTTGCGACTCATAACAACCATACACCCTGCTCTATCCTGTGCCAACCTCACTGTCTCCGACACACCTACTCCCATTACCCCAGTCACTGAATCAATCCACCTCACCGAGGGTCTTCCTCTCCTGCACCGTCCTTCCATTTTCCCAAACATGGTGTCCCTCTCCAAGGACCAGTCCCTCCTTGCAACATGCCCAAAGTATGTCAGACGAAGCTGTAGAATCCTTGCCTCCAAGAAGCAGCCCAGCTTCACCCTCTCCAGGACAAACCCGTTTGTTCTCCTAGCAGCCCATGGTATATTCAACACTCTTTTCCAGCACCACAGCTCAAAGGCATCAATTCTTTCTTTCATCCCTAGTCACTGTCTAGCTCTCCAATGCATAGCATGCAATTGTGAAGACTATAGCCTGGATCAGGCACACCTTAGTCTTCATTCTGATGTCATTGCTCTTTAGTACTCTGGAGGGCTCCCTGACAGCTGATTTTCCCAATGCAATTCGTCTCTTGATTTCCTGGCTGCTGGTACCAAAAGTGTTGACTGTGGAGCCAACCAAACTAAAAGTGTTACCAATCTCAACCTCTTCACCATCCATACTGATGCTGCCAATCGGACCAGTGGTGAGAATCTTTGCTTTCTTGATGTTGAGCTTCAATCCATATGGAAGGCTGCACCAAGTGTTTCAGGTCCTCCTCAGTTTCAGTAAGCAGGGTTGTGTCATCTGCATAACGTAGGTTGTTGACGACTCTTCCACCAAACCTGATGCCACATTCCTCTTCATATAGCCCAACGTCCTGGATGATCTGTTCTGCATACAGATTGAAAAGGTATGGAGACAGAATGCAATCCCTGGCAGACTCCCTTCCCAATTGTGAACCATGCAGTGTCTCCTTGCTCTTTTCTGATGACTGCCTCTTGGTCCAGGAATAGGTTTCGCATAAGCACAATAAAATGTTCTGGGATTCCCATTCTTCTCAGAGTCAGCTACAGCTTGTTGTGATTCACACAGTCAAAAGCCTTTGCATAGTCAATGAAGCACAGATAGACATTCCTCTGGTACTCTCTGCTTTCTGCCAAGAAATATCTCTAAGTACCATGACTTCTTCTAAACCCAAGCCTACACATCTGGCAGTCCTCTTGATCATGGAATAGCATTTTAATATTTTATTGCATTTTTGAAATAATTTTACATTGCCAATTAGGTTTTATTGGACAATTTCTATGAGTGTTATTCAGTGACACTGGTTCTATCTCATTTCCATCCTGGTTGTTTTGTTTCCGTGAGTTTAGCTTCCTTGTTCTCCCCTCTGGTCCAGGGTAAAAGCTGACCTGTGTATCTTACTTAGAAAACTGGTTAGAAGAGCACGTACTCATAGGCGCTATCATTTATTTTGTGAGGTAATCTGTCTTTTGGCTGATAGGTGACACAAGAGAATGCTTGAGTTTCAGGTGTAAAAGGTATTCCCAGGCAAGAGTCTCAACGGTTCCCCTAGTCTCCGACGGTACAGTAGGTCTGGCTATCTGGCCTTTTTAAGGAATCTTGATTTTTTTTTTTCTACATTTTTTCTCCTGTTCTGTCTGGGATCATTCATTATATTTTATGACATGTTCCTATGAAAGAATTAAGAATCATCAATCTAAAATAAATTGGTTTTAAAACTCACCAGATGTTTTCAGTCACTATCACTTTCCTCTTTTTTATTATATTGTAAATCTCATCACACAAGTAATTAAGGTGGTTCAAAATAGATAGGATCAAATGCCTTCTAAGTCAGAGACTGTGGGGTATTGGAGAATTCTTATGTCTGAGGCACTTTAAGAACAGGAAAGCCAAGCATCCTGAGTTAACTTATACATAATTCTGAAAGGCAAGATTTAAAAAGGAAAAAAAAAAAAAAAAAGAGGATTGTATCTCTGGGTTCCTTCTGGCCATAAAGCAATATTAAAATTCTAATACTTTTCTACGTGGTTGAATTTATGTTTGGAACTTTTTGTTTGTTTAACTCTGCTAATTTGCATTTATACTTTTTTTTTTTTTTAGAAAGCTCCTAAAATATTAAGAGTCTCAGCATTCTTCTCGGCAGGTCACTGCTGGAACCCTGCAATCCTCTCTGGCAGAGCTCATTCTGTCCAGTTCAAGCCAAGCATTTCAAAGCGCACAAAAGCGTGCTTTGGTCTATTAAAGCCAGGTTAGAATTCAGCTTTCATGTTGTTCTCTCTTGAATTTCCCTTCAGCTTTTCTCTTGTGAAAATCTCACCTATTCTCGCAGGTATTAGCTCAAATGTTGTCTGCAGCACAAAGCTCTCTACACACAGGAAGTCTATTTCAGAAACGTCTGCATAAGTGAATGGAAGGCTTAGTTGGAATTAAAAAAATTTGTGAGGACTGATTTACTTCTAGGTCATTTGGATTTAAGTTAAAAACTATTAAATCACTCAAAATGTAACCAAGTTTTCCCTAGTTGTCAAAGTCAATGTATCTTTACGCCCATTTAGATAGCAAAGTTAAACAAAAGCTTTCAAAATCAGAGAACAGAGGGAAAAAATATTCAGTGGGGAAGATCTCACTTCAAATTCCTTGTCATTATTTTCATAAGAGTATTATTTTCTAGTTACTTGTCTTCCACTGCAGTAGCTCCAATTAAATTCATGTTCCTCTCAATATCATCAAAAACCTTTTCCAGTTTTTCTTCTCTGTCTTGTAAGGCCATTTTTGCCTCTAAGAGCTGTCTGTTAATCCGTTCATAATCATCTGAAGCAATTTCTTTGAAGGCTACACAAAGTGTCCGATAACCATCCTAAAAGAAAAGCAGGAGATGAGTAGTTATCAGAACAGTATTTGGACAAAATGCACTCTCTTCAAAATTTTTTTTACCCACATATACAAAGGAGAAGATTTGAAACTGTAGTAAAAAAAATTATATATTGCAACTGAAAGGGCAACTGTATTTGGTTAAAAATAACACAAGAATAGCTGTCTTGAGGTATTTACAAAAAGCAGAAGCCATGCAAAACAAAGATTCTTTTTAAAAAATTTTTATTTATATTATTTTGTGTGTGTGTGTACCATCAAATCGGATCTGACTGGTACAGGAGGGGTGGATTCGGACCACGTGCCTCTGGGATTGCAGTGTAGCTTCTTGCCACTAGGCCACCAGAGCTCCTTTGCAAAACAAAGATTCTTAGAGTGTTCAAAGTGGCAAATGATGTATCGAACCTTGCTCCAGGATAATGTTTTAAAGTAAGAAAAAGAGGAGACAGAGACTCTCAAATACAAAAGAGAGTTGCTAAACGAAAATGCCTTGAACACTGCCTTTATACAGCAATCCCCGGCAGAAGGGTAGGTCTAGCTGCCCGTTTTCTGCAGAGGGAAGCGATGTGCTCACCATGGCATTGCGTTCCACATGGACTTTAGTCAACTCAACTTCATGATTCTGAACTCTGGGGAAAACAGCGGAGTCTGCACCTTTACAAAAGAGAATTATGTCTCCTAAAATAAAGAACCAAGACACTTGACTTAGAATTTTAAGACTGGAATTGGGCTTTTAGTAACAGACAGCTATTAAGGGAGCATCTCTCATCCAGGTGATGTATCTCCTGAGCCTACCTTGCAATGAATGAATGCTCACCCAGACTGAACCGATTTCTTGAACTTCAGTCCGTCAGGGGAATGAACACACACTACCTCTTAAAACTAATAAGCTGATAAGCCAGAGTTTCCACCATATGCACCTCTTTGAAAATTTACTTCCTTCAAGTGAATCACAGAGGACTGTCCTTGTGTCAAGGGCTGCATTTATATTCTCCTTAGAAACCAAGGCAACGAATGCCATTGAACTTGTACCTGGTGGAATTGTCAAGTGGGTTCCTGTTCTGCTATGTACGTTTCCACAAAAAATGGGGGAAAAAACATCTTTTAATTGAGGTAACCTTGGTCTTGAGTGCACATATGGTCATCTGCACACTTCAAGGACCAAGCTCAAGCTGAAGTAGTTTTCAAAAAAGCTAATCAATTCATTTTTAAAACAGTGGTTTGACAATTTTTACTGGAAAGTTGAGAGTAGTTTTGTAGAACAATAGTATGAGTGTGATTTCAAATCAGTCCACATACTCAGGGAAGAACTCAGAATAGAACATCAGGAAAGACATCCTGAGCAAAGCGCTGAGTTCAACATCTTAAGCAAAATGTGACTCTGCCGTTGGAGCCTCTTAGAATCTACTTCACCTAATGACCATTTTCAGTAGACGCTTATGAGGATGTGCCCACATAAGGTAAATGGGTATTTCAAACGTCTTCTCCTGCCTGTTTTCTCTCACACCCCCAGCGCAGTAAGACAATTTCACGGCTATACAAATATACTACAAAGCACCCAACAGTAGGATCCCTAAGGACTGTCTGTATGCTCCCAGAAATATTCTCACTTTAGTGAACTTAGGCTACTTATTTGGGAAGTAATTCATAGTTACTCTTTTTTTCCCTCCCCCCACCTAGAAAGAGAAGGACAGATGGATGGATACACGTCCGGAATCTGAGAGCTTGTGACTAAAGGAGAAGTGCTTCATCAGGGCTTTACTGACAGCAGGCAGAAGGCACTTACTATGGTGCCTGCTGAGGACATGAGAGCCTTGGAACTACGGCACTGGTTCTCCTGGAAAGACAAAGCTTAGTCTGTCATACAACCAGCCCAGAACACCAGACCGAAACCACAATCCATCCTATCTAACCCACTTGCTTCCAGAGAGTAGAAAGCAGAAGGGAATTTAGGAGGTCAAGAGGGACACCAGAAACCCTCCCAACCCAAGGATTCTGCTGCCAGAAATCCAAGACCATCAAACTATAAAGAGAAATTACTGGGGACTTTGGCCAATATCCTGAAGTTTAAAGGGCATCCTTCCAGGATCTCGTTTCAACAATCACAACAACACAACACACTGCTGTGGAGTCAGAAGCAACTCATAGCTGATTTTTCAGAGGAGTTTCTAGAGGTAGTAAATCACATGGAGAAGACTGCCCACCTTTCTCCCACGGACCTGAATTGCTGGTGGATTTGAACTGGAGGCCACCAGAGCTTCCTAACACCCAGGGCAGAGAAATAAAATTCTCCAGTTTCCATGAAAATGCAGTTTCTACCACTGATATTTCGGCAAAGTGTACATACACATTTAAACAGGACACAGAAAATGTAAAAATGCGTTGCTGTTGAGTCGAATTCATAGCTGATCCTCCAGCGGGATTTCCAAGACTCTAAACAGCACAGGAAGGGACGGCCCATCTTTCTCCTGTGGAGCGGCTGGCTTCTGAAGCGGCCTCTGGATTAACGGCACATCACCCTCCTGACAAGCCCACGAGAGCGTCCTCAAGACGAGAGCCAGCAGAGTGTGACTTCAGCTAATCCTACACCACTACCTGAAATGTCCTTCATAAAATAAGACCCGAAAACCTGCAAAGGGAAATGGAGAAACTAGCAAGTTTTTAAAATGCATACCTGTCCGAGTTTTCACAATTACACTCATGCGGCGGCGAACGGAATCAAAGTTCAAGGTGTGAAGAAGTTCGTACCTTTAAGAGAAGAGAAAGGAGAGGAAATAAGATATCTAGACAACACCTGAGGAAAAAAGGAAACCCTACAGAAACATCTTACGATCACACATAAAGATCTGGAACGAAGGAAAGACTCATCTTTGCAGGATGGTGGCTGGTTGTCTGCATGGCTGGAACACATGGCCGAAGACAACACTGTGAGCTAAGGGTTACCTACAGCCTCTCGTTAAGAGTCCTTAAAAGGTAAGGGGAGAATGCTCACCTAGGGATGGCGGGCGACAGCAAGGAGAGCTGACATGCCAAGTCCTAACTGGCGGGATTTAGAGCCAGCCCCACCCTGCCAATTATTTTACTACGATCTAGAGTGTGTAAGGTGTTGGGTAATAGAAGTGAATCTGCCTGAGACCCTTCCCTAAAGTGAGGCAGAGGGTGATAAGTACTGTCTTCCCAGTAGGCTAAGCACTGTTGCAGCCCAAGTGGGGTGACGTGAGAGCACGCAGGCAGGAACCTTGGTAGAGCACCAGAAGGTGTAACAGGATGAAGAAAGGGGGCAGGGATATTCCAAGTAGCCGGAAGGGCACATGTAAAAGCACAACAGGAGGAGAGAACAAGACCTATACGGGGTGTTTTGCCAAGGCCTCAAACAAGGTTGACAGGGGAATAGCAAGAGATGAGGCAGGAGAGGTTAAGAAGGGGCCATGAGCAGAAAACTTCGTGTTTCATGGCAAGATTTGAGATTTTTACCTGAAGGACAGGACAATGCTATTGAGAGGTTTAAAAAGAGGAAAGACAGGCTCAAACTGCGTGTGGCAGGCTGAGCGATTATTCATCAGACAAAAGACTACAAGAACATTTTAAAAAACTAATTAATAGAAAATGATTGTTAATATAATTACTAGAAAATTAAAAAGAATTAACAGAAAAACCGTAGGCAAGTATTTTTTCTTAAACAACTTGGATGCAAGGATATAAAAATATGACTATGTAGTTATGTAGTTACATTGACTTGTTTTGTTTTGGTTGGGAGCGAAAGGATTACTGACTTTCTGAGGTGTGTGCGCACATGTGACTACACCACCTCCTGTCAGTTTAAGCCATTCGCCTACGGCATCTTGCTTGGTGCTGGCCAGATGGGGGCGCTGCTGTGGAGTAGGTACAGTCTGAATACTGACAATGAAATTGGGGGTAGGCAGCCGACGGGTCTTCGGAGTATACATTCCCGAATGCCTCCATGTGGACGACAGGTTTCTAAGATGGATCTCATGAGATTCCAGAGGGTGGAAGTTCAGATGAAGAAATCCCAATTACTCAAAGGGCCGAAGTGCCATTAAGTCAAAGGGGCTTTGCTTATTGGGGTCTTTGTAGCAAAATAAAGACAACTGCGCCAGAGTACTTTCCCTGCAGTTCACCTGAGCATCTGGGCAGCACAGAGCTTCTGGTTGCCAGCCAAAGCTGCCATTACTGTCTGGGCTACACTGGGCTTGCCGTCTCGGTTCAGCTCTGGGCAGAAAGTGTTGTACATGATGATCCAGTTTTCTGACAGGATGTGTTAAGAGACCTGAAGGGCGTCTAAATCCTACAATCAAAGTCTATGCGGACCTTCATTCAAGACCAGTGGATCCATATGTGAATCAAACGGGTATTCTTTCTACCTCAAAGCCCAGTTCCTGCCATTTTATGAAAATGAATTCTCTTATACCAGCTGCATTTCCAGAAAACTCCGCAACATGAGAGCAGAGTCTGGTATTTACAGATGCATCCCATTTCCTTTGGTGTCCTTCCTGAATCTGTCGAATATTGACTGTGGAGTTTGGAAAAGAGAAACAACATACAGTGCTACTTACTCTTCTATTTCTTTTCTTTGGTTCTCTACTCTCATATGGCCATTCCTACTTCCTAAAAAGGTGAACCCGTACCTGTGAACAACAATGAAAAGCATCTTTGTTAGTCTCTAAACAACAATCGATTTCCCCTTGCACTGGAGTACTTGTTTATTCTTTCCTCTGCCTTCATATGATCTCATAGGCTATACTTCCCTTTATTGGCTGAGTTAGTAACATAGACCAAGTTAGTGCTCAGCTACAATCGAGGGAGAAGCAACTTGCAACTCCATGTCTGCAGCTAACTTGCTGGGTGACCTTTTACCCACTTCATCATCTTGGACTTCATGAGTAAAACTGGCCTGTCAGCAAATGAGGTCACATAACACGTGAGGAATAACAAATCAATGGCGTTGGTGGTATAGTGGTGTGCACAGCTGCCTTTCAGAAATAACCAGTTTGTGTACAAAAAGGTGGACTCTGTTACATGGTTTGTAGAATAAAATATGAACACAACAGCCTTTCCAGCAGTCCTACAGAAACGGTATTACAAGTTCTAGCCATGCACAAGTGTTTTCTCTTTGATCTTAGTTGTTTAGTTATTTGTCGAACTTCCAGAGAAGGAAGTCTGGTGCCCTTCCTACCATGAATTTAAACACAAACTTTGAAAAGAACAAAATGGTTCCCAAGTCCTGTGAGCTTGCTTTCTCCAGAGAAGGAGCAGCACTTACTTTTTAGCGCCTCTCACCAGTGCTATTTCATCTGGGGAAGAGGAGATATAGGTTAGTTCAGCGGATTCTGTAGCTCCATCAACAGCATCACTGGTTTTGATCTCTACAGTATGACACAGGCATAAAGCACGCAAAAAGAGCTCTTCTCGATTCTGCAGAACAGAAACAAAAGAGGGACTATAGTATTTTTTACTTCAATTACTCAGTAACTTAGTGAAAAGAGCACATTAATATGAGAGAATGTTAACTTCCAGCAAACTGAGTAAAAGAAGAGTCTAAATTATCTTTAAAAATTTTATTTCTTTTTAATTTGTGTGTGTGTGTACTGTCAAATCATATCTGACTGGTACAAGAGGAGTTGGCCCCTCCTTCTCAAGTACAGCATCTGGTGGATTTGAACCGCATACCTTTGGGACTGTAGTGCAGCTTCTTGCCACTAGGCCACCAGAGCTCCCCGAAGTGTCTAAATTCTTAAACAATGGGCTGGGGAACTTCCTAATACCTAACAGAGTCCCTGGTTCTCAGTGAGCACAGTCTAGGAGTCACATTAACATGTTCAGGGTAATGCAGGACAGCCACCTGATACCAAAGCAGTGACTTCTTCAAGGCCTAAGAGTTCACCCTGTATGTAACTGACAATCCAGCAATAGCTCAGGTGCAGGGAGGCTGGTCCATTTAATGCTTTGACACTTGTGGAATTTTTATGAGCCAGACAGATATTATTCTTGGAGGGCTAAATATTTTAAAAAGAAAAAAAAAAGCACACAAAAATCTTAAGTACACAGACAAGCAAAGTTTAGCCAAATGCCTGTCCCATGATTCTCTGAAGATGCAAATTCTACTTGTTGACAAATTCCAGAGGTATTAGGAAAACAAAGGTAAAATCAAAAGAACACACGACTATTCAAAGGTGTCTACTGGAAAGTTCTTTCTACTCTGCAGGGTTAACACATGCACTATAGAATAACATCTTGAGGTAAAATGCAATAGACAAACTACCACCTTATCTGCTTGTTCAAAGTATGCTAAGGGCCCATCAGTTTGGGAAACTCCATCAACTTCCTCAGTCACAGCTTTATACTTATGTCCGTCTATGCAGCATTCAATGAATTCCATGCTGTTTTCAGTAAGTGTTCCAGTCTTATCCGTAAATACATAATCCACCTAAAAACAAACAATACAAAACACATACATTTTAATTTTCTTCAGTGATCCATTTATAGTTAGCTGTAAGGCAGGCTTATTTTTACATCCACAGAAAATCACCTCTTCTGAGACTACCTGTCAAATGCCACGCAATTACAGAGAGAACATTATCAAACGAATGAGTATTTCTAAAGAAAATGAAATAATACCACGCACCTAAGACAGACCTACTCAATGACAAAAGAATAGGATAGAAAAACAATGTGGCTATTTATCACATTAAGAACACGTATACCATTTTTTAAATTGTGGAAAACATACACCTAACAGAACATTTCCCATTAACATTTTTTAAACAAACAATTCAGTGACATTAATCACACTGCACAACCATTACCACAATCTGTTTATAATTTAACAACAAAACTCAAAACATCCTTAAGAGAAGCTCAACAGTCCCTGAGCAATGGCTCCCCACTTGCCCCTTCCCACTTATCCCTGGTAACCACCAGCAAACTGTAATCTCTATGCATTTACCAGTTCTAGATATTTCACATATGTGGGATACTACAATTCTTTGTCCTTGGCAAGCTAACTCATTTTATTCAATATTATGCTTAAGAACTCTTCAAATCAACACTTACTTGTAAAGAAGCTACATTAAAAAAAAAAAAGTCAGTTTTCAAAACGAGAACTAGGATAAACCAATCAGTTAATTTTGCATACTCTCTGCCCGCCACCCCACCACCACTATAAGCTGTAGTGTGGATACCCATGAGACAAAAATACCTGACTAAAATGTAATGTAACTAGGAGAAAAATCCTAACAAACAACAATACTCCCCCACCCCGAACAGTACTATATAGAAGGGAAATGCACTGAATCTTATCATCTACACGAGTTAGAGCATGTACATGAAGAGGAAACTAATGATGTTAACAGCACAATCAGAGGCACAGTTAAATCAATAGTGATCAAAAAAGGACAATTAAAATTTCTTCCCCACATACTACATATATTTTCACTCACACCTCACAAGTTTATAATTATAGAATTTATAAAGATGGGTCAAAATACCTCAGCATCTTTCCACAGATAATAGGGGGAAAGCTACCCAAGACATTTTCCATGTAAAAGACCACAGTGAGCATTGCCACTTTATCGCAGTCTTTATCTCATCTCTATTTATAACATCTGGCTTTTGGAAACCCACAATTTCATCCTCTTTTTTTGGCAATTTATGCTTAAATAGTTAAAATTATGGGCTGACAGGAACAAGCATAAGCACAAGATTAAGGTTTTTATTATGTAAGGGAGAAAGAGATGAACTCCAGCAGTAGTTGCTTTCTAATTATTTTTCAAAGCCTTTCACGGTAGCGGCACTAGCACAAATATAGCATTCTGATCACCCCCGTTAGTCAGCCACGTTTGAAATCTTTCTTTAAATTAATCCAAATGGTCCTACTTGTGTATCATCTCAATTTATCCAGCTGAAATGATAGCTTTGGGGCTATCATCTCTTTTGGGTTTCTGTTAAAATAAAAATTGTTAACGCTCATTTCCCACTGAAGGGTGCTGAACCTCAAGAGCGACAGCTTTCACAAGATGAAGTGCATGCTGCTTGGTTCTATGAAAGCAGGTGTGCAGTGTGGATCAGATGTTCAATCTCGCAGGCGGAGGCCAACATACTGATGCAGTGGTTACCAGACTCTGATGTGCATCACAATCACCTGCATGGGTTGTTACAACTCAGATCACCGGATTCCACCCTCAGTTTCTGATTTGGTAGCAATCAGATGATAATTTGCATTTCTAGCAAGTTCTCAGGTGATGCTGATGCTGCTTGTCCCAGGATCACACTCCTGAAAGCCACTGCTCTAATATATGCCATGTACTCAGGAAAAGGCGACAAGGAGCCAGTCGTGACTCATATTAAAACATCCTATCCTATTTATCTAAAGGGGAGAAAGGGGGACACTACTGCCTGATTCTGAGTCTTTTTTTCCCCCTATAATTATATTTCATTTATTTTCATAAACATTTACAGAGATTTTGGGTTTCCATTCATTCCTTGTTGCACTATTCTCTCTACCCTCCTCCCAGTTTGTTCTTGTCCAAATGCCACAGTGCTTGTCAAAGCCAGTTCTGATTAATCTCCTTTGTCAGTGTGTCCTTTGCCATTCCCTATCACTCCTCCCTGAGAGAGACTTCACCCTGAGTCATAAGGAAAAGGGGATGGCGTATTCTCTTAGCTACTTCCTGCTGAAAAGGGACGCTGTGGGTTTCAGGGTGAAGGTCTTTTCTCACTACTCTAAAGGGCCCCTTTGGCAGTAGGAAACACATAGACTATTATGGAGATTGATTTTGGAATTTAGATGCACTCTTATTGATTGCGCTTGGCCGTACATGTTCATATCCTTGAAGATGTATCATGGGGGTGTTGCAACCTAGAAGACACAAATTTGACTAACAAGTTATAAGTACATGAGTCCAGAAATTATGGAAAAGTAAAAGAAAAGATTCTTTCATTGTTTTACAAACCCTCCCCCAGGTCCCCTCCACCATGGAGCCCTCGCTCTAGTCTCCTGTGATGACAGAAATACCTAGTTATATATCTCTTTTAAACAGTTTTCTCCCTCCTCTGTTTCAGTGCAGTATACATTATTGAACCCATCTTACTCAGTCTCTCCCCAACCCCAAGGACAGTCCCATTCTACAACAGTGGCATCATGTAATATTTGTCCTTTTGTGACTGGGATATTTCACTCAGCATAATGTTCTCCAGAGTCAACCATTTTGAATAATATTGTATGAGTTCCTTGTTTTTTAATGCAGCATAGTATTCCATTGTGCGAATATACCACAGCTTCTCTAGCCATTCGTTTGTTGATGGGCACTTAGGTTGTTTCCAACTCCTTGCTATTGTGAACAAAGCTGCAATAAACATGGGTGTGCATATATCTGCTTGGATGTCAGCTATGGTCTCTTCAGGGTATATTCCCAGTAGTGGAATTGCTGGGTCAAATGGTATCTCTATTTGCAACTTTTTGAGAAAGCGCCATACTGCTTTCCACAGGGGTTGCACTGATTCTGAGTCTTAAACATAGCTTTTCTCCTTTCAAAGCTCTGATAGCGCTGTGGTTCAGGCATTTCACTGTGAACCAAAAAGTCAGTGGTTCAAAATCTCTAGCCACTTCTTGGGCGGAATAAGAGGCAGTCTGCTTCGGTGAGAATTTACAGCATAGACATGTACTGCGCAGACAAACAACGTTACAAGGCCCAACATAAGGGAGGATCAACATGGAAAGAATTGAGATAAAGATAATAGGGCTAGGGAGCCCTGGTGGCCTAGTGGCAAAAAGCTGCACTGCAATCCAGAAGGTGCGTGGTTCAAATCTACCAAATGCTCCCCTGGAGAAGTAGGGGAAATCTCCTAATTTCCTCCTGTGCCAGTCGGATCTGATTCGACGCAACACAACAACATTTTTAAAAAGATAATTGGGCTACTGCAATTAGCAAATGGGAACTCACTCTCTCTCCCTCTACACACACACACACACCTTACACCTCCTTAAAAGAGAAAGAGGAGAAGGCGGTGGAAGAAGGAAGAGGAAATCACTAGGACAGTGGAGATCAGCGGATGGATGTGAGGGAGAGAAACAGGTAAGCTGCAGAAGAGACTTGAGACAGGGAGATAAAACTAACAGATCAATGGTAATTAATTCTATAAAACACAATGTACAGGAATGAAACAACACCTATGAATAACTGTATAGAAGTGAATGATAAAACAACTTTCCAGCTCCATAAACCCTACAGGACTGTACTACTCTGCACAAAAGTGCTGCATGAGACTTGACAGCGGTGGGTTTTTGGTTGCTTCCCCTTTAATGATGGATCTGAGTTTGCTGGGACATCTCCTCTATTAAGACTAGCTCAAGCCTATCATTTTGTAGACGGAAAACTAAACATGTGATCTTGTTGTAGGACAGAATCATCACTGAACTAGAGATTGAATATATGAAATTAATAATTTTGTAAGTAAAAAAATCAGAAAGGAAATGGGAAAGATCCGGTGTGAAAAACAATGTATATGAACTCTGTAAGCAAGTCAGTATAAAAATAAAAATTTTATTTAAATAATTTTCTTAAAAAGCAGCATTTTCATATGGCTCAGCCCAATGGCATGCTTAAGTCTTGGAGCCAATATTAAATTTATGAGCAAAGAAAAAAATTTCTCGATCACCTGGAGCTGAAAGCATTAGCCTTAATAATACCTACTGCATAACACTAAAAATTGTGAAAAATAATAAACTTGTTCTATGAGCCCTAAGATACAACACAGATGTTAATTGCTATTGTTGTTGTTGTTATGTGTCATCATGTCATTTGCGACTCATAGCGGCCCTATGTACAAGAGCCCTAAACGCCGTTCTATCCTGTGCCAACCTCGCTGTCTCAAACACATTCATTCCCACCACTCCACTCACAGAATCGATCCGTCTCATAGAGGGTCTTCCTCTCCTGCGCCGTCCCTCCACTCTCCCAAACATGATGTCCCTCTCCAAGGACCAGTATGTCAGACAAAGCTTCAGAATCCTTGACTCCAGGGAACATTCTGGCTTCACCCTCTCCAGGACAAACCTGTTTGTTCTCCTAGCAGCCCATGGTATATTCAACACTCTTCTCCAGCACCACAACTCAAAGGCATCAATTCTCTTTCTATCATCCCTATTCACTGTCCAACTCTCCGATGCATAGCACGTAATTGCAAAGACTACAGCCCGGATCAGGTGCACCTTAGTCTCCAGCCTGATGCCATTGCTCTTCAGTACTCTCGAGAGGTCTCTCACAGCTGATTTTCCCAATGCAATTCGTCTCCTGATGTCCTGGCTGCTGTTACCAAGAGTGCTGACTGTGGAGCCAAGCAAACTAAAACTGTTAACTATCTCAATCTCTTCACCATCCATAGTGATGCTGCCAATTGGCCCAGTGGTGAGAATCTTTGTTTTCTTGATATTGAGCTTCAATCCATATTGAAGATTGAAGTCCTTGACCTTCTGCAGCAAGCGCTTCAAGTCCTCCTTGGTTTCAGCGATCAGGGTTGTGTCATCTGCATAACGCAGGTTGTTGACGATTCTTCCACCAATCCTGATGCCACATTCCTCTTCATATAGCCCAGCGTCTTGGATGATCTGTTCTGCACAAAGACTGAAAAGGTATGGAGACAAAATACATCCCTGACAGACCCCTTTCTTGATTTTGAACCATCCAGTGTCTCCCTGCTCTGTTCTGACTACTGCCTCCTGGTCCAAGCATAGGTTTCGCATTAGCACGATCAAATGTTGTGGGATTCCCATTCTTCTCCGAGTCAGTCACAGCCTGTTGTGATCCACACAGTGTTGACTTAACCAAAATCACATACTCCTGGATTCTTTCCATTATCTCACATTCTGTAATGTTTCTGATTATGAACACACTGCTATGGTTAGAAGTGGTTTATATATTTCTCCAACTAGATGGTGAACTATTCGAAGATTTATTTTATGTAAATAAAATAATGGTAACTTCTGTACCTAGAACACACACGCAGATGCACAGCAGAACAGCAACAAATAGCAGACTGAATTGCTGGGACCAGAGTACTCATTCACATAATAAAGTTACACCATTAGGCACAGTCCTTGGGCTGAGATGGGACATGAAGCAGGAGGCTACTGTCACAATTTTTCCAAGGTGGACTGAAACCCTTTGGCCATCAAAAGGACTGAGGTTTGACCATGTAAGATCCCATTATGCTCCCACTGAAGGAAACCAATCGACTTCCTTTTGTTTCTCCAGTCAAACACTATCTCCAAAGTATCTCTTTTAGTGGGGAATGCAATACCAATATGGGCAAAGAGGTCAAGCAAGTGCCTGCAATACTACTGATGGAAATTGACAGTACTTGCAGTAACATAAAAAGTCCCACAGATCTTAAGTTATGACTCATCAGAGGGGAAACTAGGTACACTTCATTTTGTGCGTACCAATCCGTTAAATGCTCAACGACCTAAGAAACTATTTCAAGTCCTCTTTGCATTTTTGTTCAGGTCGTTTCTACACATCAAGCTGATAATGATGGTAAGCTATTTTTACACGATATTAATTGAAGTGGGGGTCTGGCTATTAACTCTGTAATTTGACTAAATGGCAATCACAAGCAGAAATGCGGGATTTGGTGGAGGAAGGAGGTGATAGCTGAAATGAAACAGGGAGCTTGTCTTTCACAGATCAAATTTACCAGATTACTCAAAGGTCTACTTTACTTTCTGTAGTGCTAATACAATCTAGATGGTAAGAAGACTGTGTTCCCATAGGTAGTAAGGAATCTGCTGAGGTGGAGATCTGTAAAGGAGACAAGATTCTCATCAAGTAGAACCTGTCGGGACACCCTGTCTGTCTCTACTGAGTATTGTATTGGCTGTGGAATGATAGCTGTTGTATTTGCAAGAAGAGGTGGGGTAGTCCCACACTAATCCTTCATCCTTGAGTCAGTTAATTCACAAAGGCAGGCACTACACACACACACACACACACACACACACACACACACACACACACAGAGACAGAGAGAGACAGAGAGAGAGAGAGAGAGAGGGAGAGAGGGAGGCACACCTGTTCACCATCTAGAGTGAGCCAATCACATAGGTAGGCAGGGAAAAACTTACCAGACATGGATGGTATGCTTAAGAGGAAATAAACAAAACAAAAAATCCTGCCGATTCAGGACTAGTATACTTCTGCTCAGTCAACTCTCTTCCTTCAGGGAAGGGGATTTTAAAAGGCTTAGGCCCACTCTGGCATTACCCACAAAAGAGTCTTTTGGGAATGATATTTAAGGGAAAAGACAATCATTCATCCACTTCTTGTTTCAACCTTCGTATTCCAGTGTCTTAACTTGGGGATATGCCATGATCTGAACACCAGAGTCCTGAGCTAAGGTCTGAATAAACGATCAGCTGGAGAACATTTTCACACTCACTTGCACTGCAGATGGCAAGAGGTTACTCTGGTTTCGGTGAAAGCTGTGCCATGAGCTGAAATGGTTGAGGGTCAATTCATGTATCAAAGAGAGAGCTTTGAGGTGTACATGCAAACTACACCATTTAAAACAACCGCGAGGACCTATTTCGTTCCATTAAGGGAATTTATATCCCCCAGTCTTTAGAAATGACAGTTCCACTGCCTTGACAGCCTAAATATCATGAAAATGAAACGCAAGCCAAAACCCCCCCACAGCCTGTGAAGATCATTACATGACACACTAAATTCAAACAAAGGGAAAACACTTTCTCAGTTCTGATAAGAAAAGCACCTAAAAGTCATCACTTGAGATTCACAGCTGGGCTGCACTGCATTGGAAAATAAATGTGCTTGCATTAGAAATGAGGTCACAGCCTGGGTTACATTGGAATAGGAGGCAAAAAGCATTTGGAGAAGTGCACGCCCTCACATTTTCCCTTCATTTAGATTTTTGTACTGGGATAAACAACTCAGCTTGCTAGGTCTATATTCCATCTGATCAGAAATGTACCCCAAAAAATGCCAATAGGACCACTCTGGTCAATTTTAGTCATGAAACAAAATGCATTTATAGAATGGCTCCATTTACTACTCCATATTCTAACTTCCAAATGGTTATAGATGGTAATGAAGAGTGGACATTCCTCTTCCAAAGCAATGCTTGCAATCTAACATCATCACCAGGTGAGTTCTGAAGATAATTTCTGAAGATTCAAATTCAATACACCATCTAGGACATTTCTCAAAAATGCCGGCAAAAGAATGGATGCAATAGCTATGAAAACTCTGCTTGCTTTCATTATATACCCGCACAAAGCAATTTTGTTTGAATCGTATTTCTAAATATGGTCACATATGTTGTTAATTCAGATAACGGAAACGAGATTTTTCAACATAGAAACCGACTTAAAATGAAAATGTATTCTAACCTGACCAAGTTCTTCATTAAGGTCTGATGTGTTAACCAGGGCTCCTTCATGAATTTCTTCATCATAAAAATCTTTATCCCATGAAATGAAGAAGGAGCCCAAGAATTTCTGCATTTCTACTGTGACATACATGGAGACGGGAATGATAAAGTTGAATAGAACCATAAATGACAGGAAGTCAGTGAACATTTTCAAAACCTAAAATAAAAGAGACAATGCATGAGGAGTAGATGCACAGTTCTGTTACGTAAGTGCAATATAAAGAGATTGTTAACTTTTATTTCAGTGCTAAAATCACTGCTCATGCTATAAAGAAATTCTTTTTTTTTTGCTATAAAGAAATACTTAGTGCACTATTTCATCATAATAAAAATTATCATAGTATATGAGAACAAGAATGCCCTCAAATTTTATCACTGTTCTTTAGCATATGAACCTTTCGTCATCACACTTTTTAAGTTTTCTGCTCCCTCTGAATATGAGCTCAATGTCTACACACAGATATGGACCACGGTCCTATTGTGGTATATTACAAGTTCATATTACGTTAGAATGTCACAGATTCTTGCCAAAGTGTTTAAAACTCTCAAATAAAGAACAAAACATAAGCATAGATGCCAAAAGTTAAGGGGGGGGGAAATCTTCAAAATATCTTAAAATATTTAATGGTTAAGCTACCATACAACTAGGGAGCTCTGGTGGCCTAGTGGCAAGAAGCTATGCTGAAATCCCGAAGGCATGTGGTTCAAATCCACCAGCTGCTCAGTGGGAGAAGGATGGGCAATCTTCTCCTGTGTGATTAACTGCTTCTAAAAACTCATCAGAGGGACAGCTATGGGTCGGTTCTAACTTGACGGTACATAGCAACCACACAACTAAAGGAAAACCTGAAAGCTAACAAAAGGCACTTCTGTAAGTAGCATTTCAAGAAATTGCAGCTTGTTCCCAAAGTGCTAGACTTAACATTCTCAGCAGAAGCTCAATTACCTTCAAAGTCTCCCGTTCCTTCTGGGTCTTTTGGTTATACCAGGGTTCATCATGATGTGGATTACTTTGCCAAACATACTTTAGGGTAGTGCACACTGCAGCCTTGGTCAGTAGTATAAACAAATACACAATCAGGAAGGCATTGATGGACCTGAAAAGGAAGAGATAATGGATTTTACAAACCAGACAATTTTTTAAGAGTTCCACTGGCTATTAATGGGAATGCTGGTGGCGTATTCCATAGCAGGGCATTGAGACACTAACCCAAATTCAACCCATCTCCAGTGGTTCAAATCCACCATCATCAGCTCTGCTGGAGAAAGATGAGCAGTCTCCTCTCATGTGATTGACAGCCTCGGAAAACTTCCTGGAGCTATGGCTCAAAGGCAATCAGAATGAGAGATTAACTAAATGCCGCAATTATCTAAAGCTTCTCCTATATATGTGACCACAGGGTAAACCTATGTGGGTGAATCCCTGTTATCACAACTGTAGAATTATTGCCAAGTGGCAGAAATGGGAAAGGCAATCCTGCCCGGTGTGCTGGTCAGTAATATGGTACTAAGTGTAAAAGCTGAGTAGTTTAACACAACATCAATAGAGCTCCTGGAAGGTGATGGACTCCAGGTTATTACAGATTAAGTACCGCGTGCTAACTGACGGCAGCACTGGAGCTCTGTCCAGTTTATTACAAATGGACACTCTAAAGCATACTGTGCTGGGCATTTTGTGGGGGGCAGTATATATTGCAAGGGGAAAGGATTTGGTGAACTCTGAGGCCAGTGACTGCGAAATGATTCAAGAGCTGGTCCTCGCACATGACCCCTGTCCTCGGCACTATGCCCCACATGGATGGGGACTGCAGATAAACTGGAACATGACAAAGACTTCTCCCCTTTTCCATGGCAATAAATCCAAGCACTGGGGTAGAATCAGAAAAGGTAGAATCATAAAAGAGACAAGGTGGAGTCGATTGCTACCACCAAGGAAACAGCTGGGACACTCCACAGGGCTGGTGGACTTCCGGGGCAGCGTCTACCATTACTTCAATAAGTTTGTAACGATACAAAACTACAGTGCCTAAATTTAGATTTTAGCTAATTCCCAAAGACAGAACTCCTTAAGCATTAATACCATCATTCTGGTTATGTGGGACACAGGGTGGTAAAGGTTATGTCAACCAAGGGTAGACTTAAAATATATAAAATATATAAATGCATTTTGGTCTCTTTTTCAGGGTCACACACTATTTGAACTGAAGGAGTAAATTACTTCAAAGTAATTTATTTAGTATGTTAACATTACGTTACAGAGAACGAAACAATGGTCCAGTAAAATGGTCTTTTAATATCTGGTTGTATTCTTTTGGATTTGGGGGGAGAACCACGAATCCATTCCTGTATCTGGTACTCAGTGTTTTCTCCCTTTAATTCTTAGTCTGGACATCACGTCCAGTCTTTGTTTTGCTGTTGTTAGCCTGGCTTTCTAGTGGTCTTCCCTTTATCTGTGTCATCTAGTGGCTAGTCCATTGATTCAGAGATTGTCAACTCCTCAGAGTGTGGGGTGGGGGACACAGTCAACATTTCAACCAAGTCTCAAGACTCAACTATTTGCTAGGCTGTCTTGGATCCCCCCAGGTACGTACATGGGTTTGTGTGTGCCAGAAAGGTGGAAAGAACTGAAATGCGGAAGACCTTTCATAGCGAGATCTCTTTTCCACCAACCAGCTAAACGGCTGCACGGTTTCCTGGCTCATCTCAGCTAGGCCCACAACCTGCTGGCGACCAAATCTGTGGGGTTTCTCCAGTTGTTTCCTACTGAGTTAACCACTTATAGCTAATAAAACTACTTGTTGTCACTTCTTGCCCTCAAATGAATCTGCCCCTTCTAGCAACAAAACAGCTGGTTTTCAGTAAAAATACATTTCTTTGTGACAGAGTAGTAAATGGGAGCGGCTCCAGACAAGAGGGCAAGAATAAAGAGTTCTCAATTCGCGCCTGCCTTTGCTTTTGTTATCCAGCCCTGCAATGACTGTAGTGGCATTTTCGGTCCACTTTTAGATTACGCTTTGTTGAGATGCTTTACCAACCTCTTCATACTGCCATAACCGAAACAGAATCCCTGTTGGAATGAGAAGCTTGTCTAAACATCTCTGAATGCTCACTTATGGCCAACTGACCTTTGACAAAGAGATTTTTAAAAAATCCATTCAACAGGGCAAAGACAGTCTCTTTACCAAATGGTGCTGGCAAAACTGGACATCTATCTAGTTGCATAAAACTGAAATAAAATCCATAACTTAATACCATACAGAAAAAGTAACTCAAGGCGGATCAATGACCTTGGTATAAAATCTAACACTATGAAGATAATCAAGGAAAAAAATGGGTGCAAACTTAGGAGTCCTAAGCTATGGACTATCAAATAGGACTGAAAATGTACTGTCAACAGAGGATAAGCTAGATGACTGGAACTTCTGGAAATGGATTTCTTATTCACATCTAAAGACTTCTCCGAAAGAGTAATAAGAAAACCTAAACATTAGGGAAAAATATCGAGCAATGACATGAAATTTATAGACATCTCTAACACCTCAACAAGAAAAGGTCAAACAGGTCAACTGCAAAATGATCAGATGACACAGATGGACACTTGACCAATGAAGACATTCAGGTGGCCAAAAACCACATAGAGAAATGTTCAACATCGTCAGCTATTTAACTCAAAATCCATTGTCAACGAGTCCGAAAGGATTCCGAGTTGGCCCTCCAGTGGGTTTTCAGAGGCTGTAAACTGCACAGGAGTGGAGTGTCCATCTTTCTCCTGAGCAGCTGCTGGCGGAGTCAAACCACAGTTAATGGTGTAACTCCCCACGGACTACACCAACAGAATTTCCAATAGCTACTGCTGTTGTTGTGTGCCATTGAGTCCGAAACGACTCACAGCTGGAGGGCCACTCCAGCAGGTTTTCAGAGGCAGTAAATCATATGTGAAGAGAATGGCCACCCTTCATTCGTGGAACAAGAGGTGGATTTGAACTGTATGCCTTTGGGATTGTAGTGCAGCTTCTTACTGCTAGGCCAGCAGAGCTCCCTGCAATAGCTACTGCTGTTGTTGTATACTGCTGAGTTAGAACCAAGCGACAGCTGACCTGCCGCCAGGTTTTCAGAGGTAGGTAGTTGAGAGAAGTAAATCAATAGAACAACGAGTTTCTATCATCTCATCCCTGCAAAAATAGTAATGTTCAATAAATTAACAAGTGCTGCTAAGGATGGGGACTACTGGAATCTTATACATTACTGGCTGGAATGTAAAATGGTATGACCACTATGGGAAGCAGTCTGCCAAGTCCTTAGAAAGTTGGGAGGACAAATATCACTTGATCCAGCAATCCCACTACTGGATATAAGTCCCAACGAAATAAGAATTGCAGCATAAACTAGCACCACTATTTACAAAAGCAAAGAGTTGGAAAAGAACCCAAGTGTTCATCAATGGACAAATGGCTAAAGAAAACGTGGTACATTCACCCAATGAAGTATTATGCATCACCAAAATATGATCAATAACTCACGAAATACTGCACAACATAGATGAAGCAAAATAAAATTATGCTGCACGGACAAGTCAGTTACAAAAAGACAATTATGGTCTAAGACCACTAACATAAAAAGTTGAAAAAAGATTTACACTCAGAATCAGTCTTGGGGGGGTAACAGGGATGGCACGGGAAAGCGAGAGGAGCAAAAATTAATACATAGATAAGTCAGGGGAAGGGAAAGGCAATATACAATATACAATAAGGCCTTAATTCATTACAGCGACCAATTATAACTACTGTTATAAAACAATATGAGTGATGTGTAAGAAAACTCAAGTCTGATTTGTAAACTTTCACTTATTTTTTTTGTCCCCAGATCCCTGGATCCTAAAGGTCTGGGACAGAACAGGAACAAATCAAAACAGAACCCACTGCCTTTGAGTCAATTCCAACTCAGAGCCACACTCTAGAGCAGAGAAGAACTACGCCTTATGGTCTCCAAGAGTATAACCTTTACAGAAGCAGAGCGCCACCTCTTTCTGCTGCAAAGTAGCTGGTGGGTTTGAATCACCAATCTCTGTGCCACCAGAGCTACTAAGAGCAGGGACAACAAATGTGAAATCTCTAAACTCACTGAGAAGTCTTTTGGGTGTTTGAAAGTGGACCCCTGGAGATGAATACTGGCAACCATGGAGAGGTTCAAGATGGCATGTGGCTTGAAAATAAGCCAAACCTTCAGTTTTTGCCAAGAGACTATCATCTATATTCTGGACTTTGCACATTGCAATTGAAAGACTCAAACTATTATTAGTTCCTGTAGCAAAAAGGCCTGAATCTATATTACAGTTCAAAGAAACTCATCTCCTGAAGAACAGTGTAAGTTTGACTAAGTAACCCAGCATCTCTGAGATCACTTCCTCAGCTGGGAAGTAGATAGGTTCATGGAAACTGCGCCATAGAGTTGTTTAGAGATTGAGAAAATCTGACATTCAAGTCACCGATTATAATTTCTGGGACACAGACGTGATCCAAAATGGTAGGTATGACTATTGCTGATGCTGTTTTTGTCATGGTATTCTCTGGAATCACTGGGAAAGTACCTCTTTAAGATCAGTAAGGACTAAAGAAATTGGAGTGTATACTAACTTTTCAACAGCAGATCGTTTCTGAGATTTCCCTTGGTAGTTCAAAGCCATTTTGGTTTCCATTCCAGTGTAAACAGCAACTCCTGAGGAACAACAAGATACAATGAAAACCAGGTTATAACTCAATTTGTAACTAATTCTTCACCCAGTTGGTTTTGATATTTTTATATCTATGAAAGGGGGCAACTCTTAAGCCCTCTTACACTCATCAGTTAGTATAGCATTTATAGCATAATTTAATTCTATGTAGTCTACTTGTCATAGTTTATGTAAATTCACCATCTTGTAAGTTTCTAATACCTTAAATATGCTTTTATTTAATATTGTATCAGCCAAATTAAATTTCTAGCATGTACTCTTTGTTCACTGCCTTTACAAAGCATTACTTCTGATAAGAGTATCTTAAAAATGATTCACCATATATCTTCTTGGTATTTTTTAGTGTAGCTCCTTTCAGCAAGAGATTTTCAGGTCCCAAAGACCTAAATAAAAGATAAACACAGCTTATTAAAACAACTTACACATATCATCATCTCTTAGGACACATTTCACACTGGCACGTATCTATGTCCAAGGGGATCAGATCCGTCTACTTATAGCACATGTGAATTCCCCAGGACAAGCTCAAGGACCACCCTGCTCTGAAGTTACCTGAGGGTACAGCACAGATGGAAGCACAGTATGAAAGTAGCCAACAACACACAGACAGAGAGAGATGCACAGAGATAAAAGGATTCTAAGTCACAGAGAGCAAGAGTGAGGAACAGAGTGACAGATAAAAGAGACTGGCACAGTCAATGTCAGGTGAGAAGAAACACTGACACATTTCTAGAGAAGAGACTGACTTCTAGGGGTTCATTTGGCACCTTGCAGTTATTTGACTCCCTTTTCACTGTGTCTATAAAGGCCAAGTGGAAAAGCTGAGATAATGAACTAGACTGGAGAAGAGGGAAGGGAGCAGTTCATTTGGTTATGATCTATCCACTTACATATCCCTTTATTTCATTTTACTTCAGTCCTAACATTGTACCCACTACCTAGTACCCAGCTCCCTTCAACCACTGTTTGTTCTCCTAGTATATACTTCCAACACTGCCAGCCAATGAACAATAAAAACAGTGGTCAGAAAAGATCTGCAAATACCAAGGGTCTGAAGCTCTGACACTCTGTTAACCCTAGATATCATTTCCAGCACCCTGCCACCACACCCTCACCCTGCCACACATGTTTAGAGACCTTAGCCAATCATTTGATTAGTTTAGACCTGCTAGCGTCTAGTTACTCCAGGTTTATTCACTTTCACAACTCTTTCTAAAAAGAGAGAATTTGACTTCTATAGCGAGCTTAAGAGCGAGACATACCCCCAAAAAGACAGAAAAAATGAGTAACTAACCTGGCAACAGCCTCAAGACTATTACTATAGATACTGATTCGCCCAACAAACCTGTAAAAAGAACATAATAACACATGGGTTTTCTATCTCCAGATAAATTCCAAATACCACAAATATGGGGAAGGACAGAAATACAAAGAATGCAAAAAAGAGATCCATGACTCTGAATTAACTAGAAAATTCTGTCATGTTTCTGAAGCAACTTTGAAATGATAAGGTAACACTCTAACCTGGTTTTTAAAGTAATATACAGCTTATAAAATTTTTGTAAAAAGATCTTAAATCGATCCTGAAATTCCACCCAGCACTGAGCATCCACAGCCTCTTCTTTCTACTTTAATATTAATAATACGGCTCCTAATTTAAATTCATGAGAAGAAAGCTTTCTGGTGTTTGGACCTTCAGAACCGTGGTTCATTGCTTCTTACACTTGAGCACACCCAGAATCACCTGAAGGGCTTGTTAAACCACAGACTGCTGAGCCGCGCCCTGGAGCTTTTCAGTCAGGTGCGAATTTACAATTCCAAGTTCCCAGATGGAGCCAATGCCACCAGTCAAGCGGCCACTCCGTGAGAGCCACGCCAACAGTCTCACAGCACGAATCTGGATGACAATGTTGGACATTTCTCACTTCTATCTTGAAGCTGATCTCAATACCGAGCTGTATAGTAACCACAGCAAAAACACTTGTGGATTTACTGTGTGCTTCCATTTCTTCAGTGAAAGGAGGCAACCAAGGCCTAAACTAAACGTTACAAGTGCTTTAACAGATTATAAGGAGAATCTGGTTGTTTAATTTTTGCTAGAAAAAAAAAAGAACAGTTTTAGATGGCTACCACATACAGGAAGTGTCCTTGCAGAGGAAAGTCTGCTTAGCCTTTCATCATATGACTGCACCAGTACTGTAGGAGGGGCAGGTGATAAACTGATGGGAGAGGAAGCCATGTCCTTGTCCTCCCAGGGCTCGCAGTCTCCAAGGCAAGACAGAAACGTGAACAAGTACTTGTAGTGCAACTTCTTGGCACGAAGAAGTTGATAAACAGTGTTCTGAAGGCACAGAACAAGGGCACCATATCTCTAGTCAAAGGAAATTTAAAAGAATGTTTCCTTCTTCTTTATATATTAAGGGCAATGACGATTTGGGAGTTTCCTTCAGAAATATACAAAGTGTATGTTCTTTTCTAACTCGGGTAGAACCTGTTCCTTCCCTTTCTGCTCTTCCAAGGGTCCCGCACCTCTCCCTACATACGCACCTTTACACTCTGGCACCCCCATCTTGTTCATTCTAGGCCTGGCATTACTGCTTTGTTATCTCTGCTCACTGCTATCTCCTCGTGGGCAGAGAATAGAACATATGCTTCATTTTTGTAGACCTAAATCCCCAGTTTCAAGGTGAGTACAGACAATGAAGGAAAACAGCAATAATGGGAAGATACAAAAGGAAAAAGGCTTTGTTTCCTCACTCTTCAGCACCAATGGGAGCCACATCCGAACACTCTGTACCCTATCAGGACCAAGATGGCTGGCATGGGGGATAGATGCCATCTGTAACAGTGGACAAGAATGAAATTAATTGGTGCACGTGGGGATAATAAAACCTGTTCACTCTACCTTCATTAGCACTGTGATCTCACCAACCAGTCTTAATTAAAATCAAATGCCAAATATCTGACAGCCCACAAAGACTGGTAATGAGTAAACCTACCCCAGGGTGCCAAAGCATGGTAGAACGGAGGAAATGACATCATTTTACTGATCCCTCAACTTAACTGTTTGCCATGGACAAGAAATAGCCTACATGCTATTTATATGTCAGTTCACCAAGATCATCATAACAAAGACAGTGTGCTGACTAACTGGAAATTAGCAAATAGTCACTTCTTTCTTTAATGCTGGATGACTACTGAAGGGTTTATTTTGGTTTTAATTAACTCTGGTAACTGCATCCGTCTGACCGAGCCTTATGGGAAAAAAATCTTCAAATCTGATAGTTGTCCATATTCACAAATAATAAAACCACAAGAAAAACCATCGGCAAGATGCCTTGGCTCACAATGAATTTATCTAGGGCTGGTAGTGAACAGAGCTGATTTGATTCATTTCAGTGCCAGAAGGAAGGAACATGCTCATAAAAACACAAATGAGAGTAGGCTGGTAACTGGTGGGCGTTTCTGTGCAACACTGCTGGCGAAGAGAAGCAGAGCCAACGGGTAGCATTCACAGGAAACCAGGTCACCCTTACTTGTAGAGGTCGGGTTGAGGCTGTTCACATTCAATTGCTGCTCGAAGAGTATCAATGGATTCTGCTGTACACAGTGCAATGGTATCTCGTACTGCATAATGTGTCTAGATGAGAGCAGAAGGAAAAAAAAAACCAAGGAAAGTGTTTCTTTTCACCGTCGTACATGATTCCAGGAACACTCTTATGTTTTATGCATATTTCCCACCTAAATATATTTTATTGCATTATTCTTAAAATATATCACAGATAACTAGAAAACCATTCTGCAAGGGAATTTCAAAGCTAATTTAAAAATTCAGAAGAGTTTTTTTTAATACTGACAGCTGAGAAGATTCCATTTGCAGCATGCATATTGTTAGCTAAAAACCCCGCGAAATACACAATACTTATTTTTATGTCTTTTTATGGAACTGAAACCCAATATTTTGCTCAGCACACTAACTAACCATGTAAATATACACATATGAATTGAACACAACCCTTTCAATCTAAAAATGTTAAAATTTTTCCAAGGGAAAAAAATGATGAATATTTCCATTGTACAAATAGCATAATTAACGATCTTGCAAATGTTCAAAGTGCCTGCATTTCCATCTAGCAGTAGGGAGGGAGATGATGTCGTTTGCTACAAGCACAATAGTCAACTACTGTACATCATGAAAGGAGTTGTGTTAGTGCCGTGGCAAATGCACTGGTTGGTGGTTTGAATCCACTCCTCAGAAGAAGGAGTTGCAGTTTGCCTCTAGAAAAATCTACAGCCCTGGTCCTACAGGTTTGCTAGGAGTTGGAATAGAGCCAATAGCAGTAGGTTTGGTTTTGGTTGTGTCTATTACTCACTTGATTAATTCACCACTCAAAGGCGATTCCAATACTCACAAATCATCAAGTAAGGGTTAATTCAGACTCAAAACAATATATAGATTATGCAACTGGAAAGCTGTCGCCAGGGACTGTGGGGAATATAATGGAATTGCTGTAAATTTCAAACTATCTCCTGATCTTGAAAACCCCTGTATTTTTAGCTCATTTTGTCAGATCAATTTATTTGATAAAAGAAGGTACTTCACAGCTTTCTTCATTTAAACAAATGTTTCCCTTATTAGGGAATTTTTAAGTAGATCTTGCCGTTTTTATTTCGACATTCCTAAAATAGTATTTTCTTTTTTACAATTAACTAGTCCACTCCCATGCTTTCAAAGTACAGAATTTGTTATGTCACAGGTAAGCAAATGCTTTATTACATCCTTGGTCCAGAGCTTCAACTCTGGGTAAGTTAAACAAGCAGAGGAAAGCCCTCCAAGGACACATCCAGAGAAGAAAGCATTAGTGGTCCTACTTACATGGATCTATCTTCATGCCCTGAGGAGCTCTGGCTGACGGCCAAGGCCCACAAAGTACCAGGAAACCAAGTCATCCCTCAGTTTAAGCAAATCTAGTTTAACAAGTTTATAACTTTTTCCAGCTGCAACAGGATAAGCATTGGCTAAAATACACCCTACGGTATTAAAAAAAAAACCCTATCAAATTACTTCTGGTTATATTTCTAATGTTCCAGAAATAAACATTTTCTTTAATATCCAACACTTTTAAAATAAAAGCAGATCAAACTGTAAGGTCAGAGCGCACAGTTATTTTTGTAGTTATACATTTACTAAGAGTTATTATTCTCATTTTAAAAATCCTAAAGAAAAATGTTAGCTGGATTATGGCAATGATAAATGCAAGCCGTGCTATAAAATTCATGGTGATTTTTATTGGAAGCATGGTTCTTCCCACCCAAACATTACTCTGAACCCCAAAAGCCAAGTATTCGTTTAGAAATCCTACATGCATAGGAAAAAAGAAGGTAAGAAAAGGTGGTAGGTACCAGTATTGTTTAATTAACTGTCGGGACCTCAAATGTTCTACTACCTTGCAATTGGATTCCCCATCGAGACTGGCCGTAGTGACATAACAGGTTCCATCACTGGTGCCTGATGATAAAAGAATAAGATCACAGGGAAAGGTTTCATCTGCCCGCACTTCTACTACATCACCAACCTAGAAGGGAGAGGGGGGGAAAAATTCTTAAGGCCAAACAAAGAATCCATTATAACTGTGTACTTCACATTACTCTTGGTCTAGGCTTATGAGAGGCGCACAGCAGTGTCTCATACTGTATGCAAGGTGGCAAAATAACTTTTGCTCAGTATTCAGAACCGTCTTTTAGGTCACACTAGCTTATGATGTATTCATTTTACCTTGGAACAGAATTTTAACCTCTAATAAGTGAATCAGTTAGGCACCCCATAGCCTGGCTCCTCTAGGATTTTTGGCATGAATGTTTACTAAGTCAATGACTTTACTGCTTCATGAAAGAATCAAGAAAGTCTACATGTCACAAGTAGGACAATTCACAAAAGTTGAGCAGCTTCACTCCCCCCTCTGTATTATGTGTATTTCAACATGTTTTGCCTTCTGTGTATCAACAGCTGTGATCGCTGGGTGTGAGTTCTTCCGTGTTCGGGTCCATTCTTAATGTTAAAAAGTCTTCCTTATAATACGGGAAAAATACAAACTAATGTTTCCTACAGGTCACTTTGCCGTAATTCTGCTGAGATTCGAAGATTTAACACAGCAAAGAGATACCATTTCCTATCACCAAGTATTCCAATTTCATTCAAAATGCAAGAGAGAGGCGATCATGTACCACATCTATGGAGAAGAGAACTCATACTGAAGAGAGTAACTCATTATGGTTAAAAGCTGGGGTCCTTTAACCTGCCTTCACGTCCCAGCTCTGAGACTTAAGTCCATGATTTGTTAAGTGCTTGAGATGGTAACAATGACTTCCCAAGACACATACAGGGCATTAGGATGGAATTAGGATGTAGGTATTTTATTTCATTTAGCAAAGTACCTGACACACACTAAACATCTTGAAGGTGTTATGATTTTTATCAATACTCTGAAACTACTTTATGCCCAATTTACAAACAGTAACATTCTCATTTGCTTGTCTTTAATTTGTTGCTGTTGTGTGCCATTGAGTCGGAACTGACCCTCCAGCAGGTTTTCAGAGGCAGTTAATTGCATGGGAGGAGACTGCCCATCCTTCTCCCACGGAGCAACTGGCCGATTTAAATCGCGAGCTTTCAAGACTGTATAGTGCAGCTTCTTACCACTAGGCCACCAGAGTTCCCTACACTTCACAGTAGGGATTTAACATAAGTTAGGAAAAAAACATTTCCTATCTTAAAAGACTTGTTCCTTAGCTGTAAAACAAATCAATTACAGTAATCTTTAATGTGGAAGACTATAAAAGAAATCATCTGCTCCAGCACTTCCTAACATATTTTACACCATGGCACTTAGAGAAAACAAAATCCAACGCTACTGTTCAGGACCCTCAGGTAAAAGGAGGTGACTGTAGGTGGCACAGATAACACACTTAAGGAAGGGACTGGTATTTCACACACTGGTGACAAACTGGAATAAATGAAATAGCTGCCTTCTACTTAACTACAAAATTTAGCAGATAAAAAGAAAAGACAATTTTAAGAGCTGGTCAGGAATTTTTCTTTCTTTGCCAGTATTAATCAGTGGCCAAGAACAACAGTGTCAATAATTTGTAAATAATATTCTATTATGTTGGATATTTTCTTCCTTAGTTACATAAACACTTATGTTGCTTACACACAACCACAACCTATGCTTAAATGTTCAAAGAAAAATAATAATGCCCCAAGACATCTTGGAAGAAACAATCACTCAGAGATTGGAAGATGGTTCTCAATCCCAGATAAATGCAAATCACTTAAAGGGCACATCTTCCACAACATAATTCCTTTACAAATGGAATAGAAGGCCCCGTGCCGGTGGCCCGGTAATCAAGCAGGGCTGGGTTCAGGCTTCATTCTAAAGACAATGGGGAATGGCAAAGGATTTTTAAAGGAAGGAAATGATATATGGAGGCTCAAAGCACAATTTCCAACAGATTTATCATGTTTGATTCCCTGTGGAGAATTTGCCTTTTCACCCCAGAATCTACAATTTAACAAGCTCTGCAATGGAAGCCTTACACATCCCCAGGTGATACTTGTATAGACATAAACTGGGTAATCTACAAAATCCTTAATTTTCTTTAGTTGTGAGAGAGCTGATGTTGCAAAGCAATCAAGGGAAGCCAGACTGAGAGGGTGATAGTCCTTGAGAAGAGACAAGGCCATGGGTTGTTTCACAACTAGCACAGGAGGAAGGGATGGTGGCCAGAACACTTGGGAAGTGGAGAACAGGTGGAATTGTTCCCAATTCTTAAAGGCTGAGTTTGAACCAATGCAGCACCTTAGAAAGGAAGGGTGTCCAAGAGAAAAGGGGAGGCCAGTTCTTCTGAAAAGGCAAGACCACGTGCCTACGAGTCTTACTAGGTGAGAAAGAATGAGAGCAGGAGACCGGAAAAGAGTCCACACCATCTTCTCTCTTATGTGGCAAAAGTAATCTACATGTAGGAAGAAAGGCCCAACAAGGTCCTTCCCAGGAGGAGTCGACAGGCAATGGCGCCTATTGCTGGAGGACAGGTAGAGAAGCAAAGAGAAAAGTCAATTCAAACCAGGATTGCCATAGATAGGAGGCAAAGTTCAAGTGCCGCCGAGGTGGCCAGGGATACAGAGAAAGTCCTACTCCTGAACTCAGGAACAAAAGACTTGCAGGATTTTGATGTTGGAGTGGAACTGAGAAACTCGCTTTGTGGATTAGGAGTGTAGGGCCTGTTGAGAGTGGAGCTGGAACACGGAGAAAAATCTTGTAGGACCACAGATCCCACACAGAGCGCAAGTAATAGCAATCTATGACTAAAGAAACGGAAAATCTGTGCAACACCAAGACAAACACAAATAGAACAGCTGAAAAACGGACAAAGGATTTGAAAGAGAGTCCAAAGATCACACACAGGTGGACCAAAAGGTACATTAAACAACAGCAGGCAACAGAGCAAACAAGTCAAAACTACCACTTCAAACCTAGTTTATAAAAAAAATCAAGGCCACTGCTGTTGAGTCTGAATTAACAATAGCTGCTGGGGGATTTAAACCAGCAGGGAGGCATGGCCTTCGGGTTATGAGTTCTTCCTCGGGTAGAGGAGGTGGGGTTGGGGTGGGAGTAGGGGATGTGTGTGGGAAAGAACCCTTAGACACACAAAAAATCCCAAAACAAAAAAACCTCCCTACGGACCACAGCACCAGAGCCCCCTGAAGCTGTCCATAGCTTTTTATAATTGTAGTCTTAGGATGAAAGTTGTTTACAAGTGTTCAGGTCTTTCGTTCATAGGGTTGCTGTAAGTCTACGACTCGACAGCATTTAACAACCACAACAACAGCATAGAGAGATCAGTTGGCCTAGTGGACAGAATGTGATGCTACCAAGCCAAAAGTAGGTGACTTTAATCTGTGGCCCTTAGGCCCGGATTTAACTGTTTTTGGTCAAACATTCTTCTAGGTTGCATAGCCCTGGTGTGTCCGCTTGCCATACTGAGGTAACTTGTAGTTGCTGTGAAGGTGAACACTGTGACACTGATGTGTCTGATGCATTAAAGGTTACCTATAGTGGACAGTGTTTGGTGGAGCTCCCTGATTAAAACAAGCTTGGAAGCAGGAGAGGCATCCATTTCCGAAAATAGCTTGCCTCCAGAAACCCTATGAACCTGAAGAAAGCATGAAAGTTATACAAGCATCCAGGTCTTTCGTTCATAGGGTCGCTGTGAGTCACCTCCTACTCAATGGCACTTAACAACAACAACAACAACAGCATAGAGAGAGAGATCAGTTGGCCTAGTGGACAGAAAGTCATGCTTCCAAGCCAAAGGTGGTTGACTCTAATCTGCAGCCCCCAGGCCTGCCTTTATTTGTTTTTGGTGAAACAGTCTTCTAGGTTGTGTAACCCTGGTATGTCCATTTGCTGTACAGAGGTAACTCGGGGTTGCTGTGATGCTGAACACTGTGACACTGAGGAGTCAAATGCGTTAATGGTCACCCACGGGGGACAGTGCTTGGTGGAGCTCCCCGATTAAAACAAGCTTGGAAGCAGAAGTTATGAAATAACTTATGAAATAGTTTGCCTCTGGAAACCTTATGAACCTGGAGAAAGGACGAAAGTCACACAAGGTGTCCAGGTCTTTTGTTTATAGGGTTGCTATGAGTCGCCTATGACTCGACGGCACTTAAAAACAACAACCTGATACAAGCTTTTTTATAATTGTAGTCTTATATAATATTTGGCCTTTTAAGACTGATTTCAGTCAGCACAGTGTACTCTAGATTCCTCAATCTGCTTTCCATAGTGGTTACAGTCTCACTGGCATCTGTCCCCCAAAGAGGCACTGGGAGATACGAACCACCAGAGAGGACGGTAGCCTAGTCCGCAGGATTTGTGCTGCTCATGCAAAGGCTGTGGCTCCCTGCTAGTTCGAATCTACCACCAGCTCGGTGGCAGGAAGGTGGGCATTCTTCCTTTTGTGCCATTTATGGCCTCTGAAAACCTGGTGGAGGGTCAGCTATGAGTTGATTCGGAATCAACAATGAGTTGTGAGGGTTTTTTATTTTGAGAGCTTGATGGGTACACGTGTGGCTTCCTTTCGGTCTGATGAAAAATGTTCTGGACCTAAATAGTAGGGATGGTTGCACACACGGTCAATGTACAAAATGGCATTAAATGGGACATTTAACTGTTTTTAAAAAGGATGAATTTCCTCATGCTTATTTTACCACAATAAATAATTACAATAAATAAATAAATAAATGCAAAAATAATACCTTAATTTTTTCACTTTCTTTTCTCACTCGCTTGGCATTTTCAATAACGTAAACAGTACTCTTATTGACCTCATTATCAGCTCTGTGTCTCAACCAATCCTCATATCCCTAGAAGGATAAAAAGAACTATATAATCAAGGTGAGGCAATGACATCATTAATAAATAGCTCTACACCCCCACAATGAATCACCAGCAGATATTTATACTTAAAAACTACTCATTTCAACTCAGAATGCTAATGAGACAAAGCTGCACATTGCAATAACAAAAATAGAGACATCTTTTCAAATGATCCCTTAGATAAATTGCAGTATGAAAAGCTTCCTTCATTCTTCAGGTAAGTAATGACAACACTCCTCTACAGCTTTATGACCCTGCAATTGTGAAGGATTACCATTTTAGGGTTTATTTTCTTCTAGACGTAGCCACTTAAATACATTCTTCTGTGGTAGATATTGAAGTGATGGGCTCTGAGGAAACACCACAATCCTTCCCCAACCACAAAGAAGAGAAAAAGGCAAGTTGGGACTGCTTTGGAAGGTAATTTATGGTAAGTTTTTATTTCTGATGAGCAGCTAAACTTCACTGAGTTGGTGATGAAAAGAGAAAAATCAGACTTCCTCTCTGAAAATTAAACAGGCAAACGTGCATTGGTTCGTTTTTGTTTGTGCTTTTTTATATGGAACAGACTGAAACCGAAAGGAACGATGAAGGTCATGGCTTCGCTGGAGCATGGCCTCTTTCCTCCCTTTTTAATCTCTTGCTTTTTCCTCTGCAGCAATGCCTGTACCTTCTGTCTCTTTTCAACTACAGTTCTCGGAAAAATCCTTTGATCGCTAGCCTTCTTTTCTCTCCCCTCTTCAACAATTCCATATTCATTTCTCACAGTCCCTCCCAATGACAACGCTAGGCATTGCTGCATAGGGTATTTTCTGAGTTGTTAGAAAGGAACTGATACGAAATGGTAATGAGAGTAAAACTGATCAGGAAAAGCTCTGAAAACTCTACGCGCGCTATTCTTGGACTCAGGAATTCTATGATGCTAATGAAAATAATCCTAAAAGCTTAAGGGAAAGAACATTCCAAAGGTCTTTATTTAGCAGCCAAACAGTTGATAAAATATTCTTGCAGTTCCTGGTAGGCGAGATACTAGACCAGATAACCTGAAGGCAAGGGTGGCCTTGCTCCCCAAACTGTTTACAGAACTTTTAATTTTTTAAGCTTCACTGACTAACTTTTTACAAGTATGTTTGTAAGTCCGCAGATTCTGTGGACCATCTCAATACTTGATCAAGAGGGGAGCTCTGGTGGCCTAGTGGCAAGAAGCTGCAACTACAATCCCAGAGGTGCACGGTTCGAACCCACCAGATGCTCTGCCGGGGAAGGAGGGGCAATCTCCTCCTGTACCAGTCAGATCTGATTTGACGGTACACGCACACACACACACACACACACACACACACAAATAATAAAATAAAAATAAAAAATACTTGATCAAGATTACTAATCCATCCCTACACTCTCAGTTTGTTTTTGTCATTATCATTTTCTTCTTAAATTCTTCAAAGAGATTACTGTGTAAGATGTTGAAAGTGCTTCAAAGGCACATCACAATTATGAGTAGTTCTAATAAGAAGAAACACAAGACCCCACCTACTACCCCAGGTCCGTTAGCAGCATAAGAAAAGATAGTAAAATTACAGTATTTGTGTTCATGAGTTCTCTGCTAGAGGCAACAATAAAAGCCCACCAGACTAAAACAATTAACACCCAGTAAAAGTTCACCTCCCAATGCCCAACTAAGTTGGTTGTACTTTCTAATTTATGCTCTCATCCCTGTACACAGATACTGAGGAGGAAAAGAATAAAGAAATTAAGGATAAAAACCCAAGTATACTTAGTCCATTTTCAATGGTAATCAAATAGAAATGAAATCTATCAAGGATACTCACTGTTCTACATAAATATGAAAAACACTGGACAATAAAATTCAAAGGAGATTGGACCAGAGTTTAGGCGTAACTGTAAAGAATACATTTACCTGCTTGATGGCTGTAACAGTTATAACAAAGAACAGTGGAAGTCCACTGGTAACTGGGCTGGTTGGTGTGTCTACTGTGACCTAGGCGAAGAAATTGACAGTAAAATTAAACAAGCCATTAACACATTTGTAACAATCACACGTTTCAAATATCTAGACAGAAAAGCAACACGTTTCAAATATCTAGACAGAAAAGCAAGCAAAACACATTGAGCTAATTTTCATCAAAGCAAAAGCAACTCACAGAGTAGGTTACGAAGCAATCCTGCATTGATGTTTACTCTTTATCTCAGCTTAAACTAACCCTATTACTGAACTAAATCTATTTGTTCAGCACCTATTTGTTGAGCATATCTCTGTCCAGTCTTGTGCTATTATTAGCCACTCTGAGAGTGTAGCTCTAATAAGATGGAGGTAAGTCCCTGTCCTCATGTAACAAGCAGCTTAAAGGGAAAGTCAAACATTAAAATAAATCATCAGAATTATACATACATATGTTGAGATGTGAGAACGGTAAGAATTAGCTAGTTGAAGGGGAACTTTTGATGCCTGGTCAACAATGAATGCAACAATGAATGGCAGAAGGGAGCAAGGCACAGGTAAAGAAATGAAGGACAACAGTGGTACCTGATGAAACCATCAAGGGAGGAAGGGGCCAGATCATAAAGGGCTCTTGAGACCAGAGTATGCAGTTTATTCTTTATCCCACAAACAAAGGGAAGCCATTAAAGACTTTATGCATGGACAGAACAGCATTTTGAACAGATTCTCTTCCTCTCCAAGCTTAAACTGAAACGAACTCCCTCCCTTCTGATTAATTTTCAGCCAGACAATAGACAGGCATATAAAGTGATCAACACAAGATCTAAAAGGCAGCTTTGCTCAAGGGTAAAGCTCAGAAGAGGAATCTCTGGGGTCTGGTAGCAAGAACCTGCACTGTAATCCCAAGGGCACAGGGTTCGAGGCCACCAGCCACTCTGCAGGAGCAGGATGGGCAATGTCCTCCCATGCAATTACTGCCCCTGAAAACCTGCCAGAGAATTTGCTATTGGTCAATTATGAATCTATGGTACACAACAACAACAAAGCTCAGAAGGCAGGAAGAAGTCAGAAGGGAGGATGAATGAAAACAAATCACAGGAAGGAAGCGGAAAGAGTACATAGTGAGGGGCTATCATCAATTTCAAAATCAAAGGTGTTTAAACTGTTGACTGGAAAACCAATTTACTTTGCAAAATGTCTCCCAAATTTAATAAAAAATGTTTAAAATGAAAAATTGGAAGGGAACAAAAGAGTGGAAGCAGGGGATTCATTTTGAGGCCTAGAAGAGGATGGTAGCAGCAGATTAAGTGAGAAGTTATTTTAGGTGGCAACACTTAAGACACAAACGTGATAGGACAGGTGAGGGGATCCATGCAGAGGTGATGACTTCCAAGCAGATGTTATCATCAGGCTTTGGAAAGGAAAATACTTTAAGAGAACTAGACTAGACAGTTGGAAGGGCATAAGTTCAAATTGCCCTCAAACTCATTAACTCTCTCTCATTCCCAACCCTCACCAAGCCTGGCCCTGCCACACACACTCTGAGCAACAGACATAGTGCACACGTCAAGCGTTTAAATTACTCTGCGCCTTTCTGCAATCTTCTCCCTATGCAGGAGATACCAGCCAGGCATTAGTCAGTGGGTTACCCCTTTGGGTCTGTCGAGGCTCCCCTCTTCTTTGAAGCCGAATCAGACTCCTCTTGAGTAGAGAGAATCGGAATCTCCACTGAATTCTGGTAGCATTTTACTCCTGCCATCTGTATTACATTCACTACATTAAATTACGTGGCTACTTGACTGTCCTTTCAGCTACAGAACAAATTCTTTAAGGGGATAAAAGCCATGGCTATAGCCTCTCAGTCCCTCCTACCATTCCCCCCGCCCCCCACATTACCACATGGCATGCAGCGGGTGCTGCTTCGACATCTGCTGAATTAACAGAAGTGTACCACTTGCCAAGTGGAAAGAATGACTCCCATGAGCCGCATCTGCTTCACAACGGATGCTCCACTGTCCTAGAACATATCCGACCAAGGCTCCTCTTGAAATGTTCCATCACTCAAGACTGAAACTGGCTCCCTCCCATTTCATAGCCAGATTGTTTCCAAGTAACAGGCTAAATTCAATTTCAGTACCATTCACTCAAAACCTCAAGGGGGATCAACAGAAACACTTAACAACAACAAGGCATTTGAGCAGCTTCATTTGGGAGGCTTTTTTTCTGCTTTGTTTTAAAAAAGAAAATAGAGGGGAGAGTACCTTAAATGTAGTAAAAATTTCAGGGGGTAATTTTGGTGTGAGAGTTCAACGGCTTAAACTTAAAGAGACTTAAAGAGAGGACACACAATTGAAAATATGTAAAACATCAAAAGGAACAGAAGGAAACGGATTTATCTCGGTCTCTGAACCTTCATGTGTGTAAATTCACAAGAAAGAGCAAAGTGGTAATCCAAGAAGATCTGCAACACATTTTCAATCAGACCAACAACATAAAACTACCAGTCTGAACTATTTTCAGTAACGATACTGCTATTGCCTTTAATGGAACAAAATATAGGTCCCTTTCGAGTGAACTGAGATGAGAAATCCACAAAAGCTTTAAAGAAAGTAATAACTGAGAGGGGGGGAAAGGCTTTGTGGTGAAAATAATACTTAAAAAAAGTTTCTTTTTTAACTTTATTTTTTTTAATGAACGCTTACAGAGATTTTGGATTTCCATTCATTCATTGTTGCACTTTTCTCCCTGCCCACCCCTCCCCCCAAGTAGTACTTCTCTTTGAAAAGTAAAAGAAAAATTATTTCATTGGTATAGAATCCTCTCCCCCGCCAATACACTCCACTATGCAGCCTTCATTCTGGACTCTTGTCATAACCATAATACTCAATCATATAGCGCTTTCAAACAGTCCTCTCCCTCATCTGTTTCAATGCAGTATACAAAATTTATCCAGTTTTTCTCAGTCTTACCCCAACCATGATGTCAGCCCCGTTTTACAACAGTGACACTATGTAGTATTTGTCCTTTTGTGACTGAGATATTTCACTCAGCATAATGTCCTCCAGGGTCACCCATTTTGAATAATATTTCATGCGTTCCTTGTTTTTCAATGCAGCATAGTGTTCCATGGTGTGAATATACCACAGCTTCTCTATCCATTTGTTTGTTAGCTTTGTTCACAATAGCAAAGAGTTGGAAAATACTTTTTTTAAAAAAAACATCACAGCCCTTAAAATATGCTTGCTACCATTTCAAGCACTTCATATATATATACATGCATGAAAGTTGGACAATGAATATGGAAGACCAAAGAACTGATGTCCTTGAATTGGGGTGTAGGCAGGAATAGTGATTACATATCATAGACTGTCATTTGCCCTAGATAAAGGATAGTCAGAATAATCCTTAGATAGGAGGGCACTTACTGCCTAGAATAATCAACCAGGTAAGGTCCAAAGGGCAGCATTTGCCCAAGGATAAAGCCCAGAGTGCTGGAAGGGGTAGGAATGACACATCAATGGAAATGAGACACACAGGAAGGAAGTGGAAGGAGTGTGGTCACATTGTGGGTATCATAAAAATGTTCTCAACAAATTGGTTTGAATTGAGAAACAACTTTCTTTGTAGAAAACAATGCAGCTTTTCTGTGCAGAGGGTACACCAACGGGCGCCTGTCTGGCAGTGATGGTTAGGCTGGGGCAGGACTGAACCATGTTTTCTTCTGTTGAGCCAGAGTCAACTCAACAATATAATCTCTTCATCAAACAGGACTGTAAGGTCAGGAAGGGATTGAAAAGTTGTTTAAAGTAACCAAGTGTCCAAAGGGTGAGTCAAGGAAGTGCTTACCTGTACAAGGAAAATGATGAGAAAATAAAAATTTGCAATTCTTCTAAACTGCTCAAACAGATTCTTTGGGAGGAAATTCCAAAGTGTATACTGTAATGGGGAAGAGAAGGAAGTATATTATCAGAAAAGAAAGTTTAAAAATCTTAATAATAATGATTGATGGTCATTCTTATCTAAGATTCCAATTCAAGTGGCACTTCCTATATTCGACACTTTAAAAAAACCCTTGTGTTTTTTAAAAAATATTTATTTTATATTTAGTTAGGCAATAATACATATAGTCACCACTGTCAAACTTAATATGAGATGTTAGATGTTTGATCCAATTTTCCTTCCTGGATAAGTTTTTTTTTCCTATCTCTGTTGGTTTTGAAAACACAATACCAGAAGAAGAGTGGCCCAATGCCAAACACCGCTCCTATGAGTGAGAGCTTGGGAGGGGCCTGGAACTGGGATAAGCATTCACTGAACTTGTATTATGTCCAACGAGGCTGGACAGGATCTTCTATGATTGACTGGCGGTTAGGGTTGTTGGGCTGAAGCAGATATTCCCATTTAAGCCAGGATCTTACGGCCAGTCGCTCATTTTGTGCCCACCAGGTCTCTGGAGATACATTATATTCTGCTGGGTCGAGGGTAGCAGGTTAGGTGGCCAGGCACAATGGCTTGTACTTTGGGAACGACATCTTGGCTACCCAAGAAAACCTTGTTAAAACCCCTATCACACACACACATACACATATAATTTTAATTATGCTATTATCTAGACATCTTTCATTGTCACTGAGTCAGAACTAACTCCATAAAAACATTTTCAGAAATGACATCTTCAGGTCTCCATAGTACAATGTTTCTAAATTGTTGTTAGGTGCTGTTGAGTCAAGTATGACTCCTAAGAACCCTATAAACAACAGACCTGAACCCTGTCCCAGCCTCTGCCAGCTCCAACATCTCGGACACACTTCAGCTCATTGTATAATTGTTATCTACTGTGTCAATTCATTTTGTTGATGGTCTTCCTCTCTTTTGCTGACCCTTCATCTATAACCAACAACAAACCCAGAAGGTTCACCCCCTGAGACTCAAGAAGTGCCTCAGGGAAGACCATTCAACATTAAGTGTGGAATTAACTATAAATAAATGTGTATCAGCAGGAGAGGACAGTACATAGTTTTCATCAGATCCTCAAAGGCAGATTGTAAACAACCAGCCAAAGGGCATATGGAGTCACTTTAAAGAGGACATAGTCCAGGTCAACACCTAACTGCTCCAGTTACTTCAGATCAATTTTCTACAAATTTCTATCAAAGCTAAAAGCTAACAACAGACTAGGAATCTGGTATGCTGACCTTCTGCTTTCAAGTTTTTAATTACACAAATAAACACTGGGAACTGGGGGGGGGGGTGCTACCATATCAAAAAGAAACACTTTTTGTCCTTGTTTCTAAGCCCTAGAGTACATTTACTACTCTTTTAACAGGCCCAGTGTGTTACTTCCTTGAGAAATGCAGGTTATCATTTTATAGGGAACTAGTGAAGGAGAGGAAGACCCCCAACAAGACGGACTGACACGGTGACCTCAGCAAGAGGCTCTAGCGTCAGATTATGAGGATTGTTCAGGTTGGCTGTTCACAGGGTTGCTGAGTCACACTCAATCCGACAGCCCAACAACAAGTGCTTATACAGGGAGCTCTGGGGACTCAGTAGTATGGAGCTGTACTATCAATGCAACGGCACCTGGTTCAAATTCACCAGCCACTCTGTGGGACAAACTTGGGGAATCTCTTCTTATGCAAGTCATCGCCTCTGAAAACCAGCTGGAGCGTCAGCTATGGGTTGGTTTCCGCTGACTGGTAAACAACTGCATGTATGCTCCTCTTCTTTCTTTCCTCGAGTCACGAGCTGTTTATTAAGATGTCAGGGACCGTGTCACAGATACACGACAGGACACAGGGAGGTTCCCATCTCCGCCTGAACAGTTTTTGCACCAGTCATGACACTTTTCCTGTTGTGTGCTGTCTGTTTCTTGCTGTCAGTAATAAAAGGTGTGCTAGGGAGCATCTTGTGTATGTTGGTTCTGGAATGTGCTAAAATTAGATTTTTCTTTATCTCTTTGCCACTTACTATTATTTCCTGAAAGGAGGTGAGCCAAGGCGACTGTAAATAAGTGAACACACACACACACAGACACACATTACCAAAACCAGTAAAAAAGTTTTATTACAGTAATTTAACAGAGACATGGCGAGTGAAAGAGAAAAAGAGGCCATGCAAAAGGGTTAAAGATGAAAGGAAGGAAAACGGGGAGAAACATCCTGATAGGTGGTGTCAAACCTTTGGCACTTTGTCAGTAGAAAAAGACAGACCCTCAGGTGGGCACTGCTTTCATTGGCTCCCCATCTCCTGGGATTGGTCATCGCCTAGCCAGTCTAGGGACCTATGGGATTGGTGGGAGTTTAGCTCCCCTGCATTCCTGAGGATGGGGCTTCTTCCTGATGTAACCCCATTTCTGGCTCCTGTCAGAGGTACTATCATTTTGGTGCAACTGTTTTTGCCTTCCCGGCTTATTTCCTCTGAGACACTGAGTTTTTAGCCCTCTCCTATGAGAGCAGGGAAGAGAGACACACACTAGGTAACAATTCTATCCCTTGACAGGTTCCGATCTGAAGGACTTCACAGTCAAAGAAGAATCATGAGTAGTGACTGGCCCCCTTTCTCTAATGGTCTCCTGATCCCATAGGAACCTAGGACATCCTGAGAATACATCACAGACTCAGCTGAACAAAATAACTATAACACTTAGCTGTAAATAAGCCACCCAAAACTGTTCACTTTACTAAATTACTGTATCCATTTTTTTTATCAACTCTCATGTAGGCATGAAATCCAACTATGAAAATAATAGAATCTCATCTCATTACCAATGGCAAGCAGATGAATTTGGGGGGAAAAGTCACTCTTTCCACCAGACTCAGGTAGAAGCACAAAAGGAATTACCAGAACACAAGTGAATCAGGACTTCAAGGATTTAATAACTTAAAAAACAATGTACCTTCAAAGAGAATTAGATAAGTCCGGAAAAATGAATTCTAACATATTCCGTAGAAAAATTGAACCTTCTCTTTTCCAAGACAGAAAGCAGTTTATCTTTTTGCACTTCTAAAAACATCACTACACTATGATTTTAGTGAAATTTTACAAAAAGACTAGGTTTTCATTCATTCCTTGATACACTATTTTCCTCCCTCCCCTAACCCCAATTCACTGCCTCGTTCCAAATTGTTAATTGCCGTGCATACAATGCCTAATCTTATCCACTCCTTTCAGAAAGTCCTTCTCCAGTGCAATGTTTATTATCTTCCCCCCAGGTAGCTAGATATTAATCCTATTTTTATAACAATGATCTTATGTGATACCTGTCCTTTTGCGAGTGGGATATTTCATTCAGCATGTCTTCCAAACTCCTCCATCTTGTGCAGATTTTTTAAAAAATATTTTATATTGTTTTGCTCACAACTTACGCAGTGTTTTATAAGTTCATTGCTTTTCAATGCTGCATAATATTCCAGTGTGTAAATATATCACAATTTTTCTAGTAATTCGTTTGTTGATGGGCACTGAGGCTGTTTCTATCTCTTTGCAAATGTGAATAATGCTGAATAAGGTGTGTGTTTTTTTTAATTATTTAGGGTATATTCCTAACAGTAAAATAGCTGGCTCAAAAGTTATGACTATTTCCAACGTTTTGAAGAAGCCTTCTATAGTAGTGTACCATTTTATATTCCCACCAGCAGTGTATGAGAGATTCAATTTCTCCACATCCTTGCCAGCATTTGTTGTTCTGTTGAACTTTATTATTATTATTATTGCTGGGCTGAGATGATATCTCATTGTTTTGACTTGCACCTCTCTAATAACTAGAGATTTTGAACATTTCTTCACGTGTTTGTTGGACATTCTTTTTTGGTAAAATGTCTGTTCACATCTTATGCCCATTTTGCAAGTGGGTTGTTTGCCTTTTTCTTGTTGAGGTGCTGGAGTATTCATTTTATACAGGAGGAGTATTCATTTTATACAGGAGTCCCTTATGAAATATGTCATTGCCAAATATTTTTTCTCAGTCTCTCAGGCTTCCTTTATATATTACTGGAGAAGATTTTGATGGACATAAGGATTTGGTTTTGAGAAAGTCCCATTCATCTGTTTTATCCTCTCCTGGCTGTAGGTTTTTTCATTATACTTGGAAGTCTATTAATGCCATAAATTAGAGCTTCTCTAGTTATTCCTAGTTTTTCTCTGCTGAACTATTTAGTCATTGACTTCACTCCTAAGTCTCTCAAATCTAACTTTGAAAATGAAGAGAAACACTAGTAGAATTTGATGCTTGGCACTTTAACCCAAGGTACTTTTCTCACATGTGTTCTAAGCTTCACTTGGGTCTAACCTTCGAAGAATTAGCTGGAGTCCCACTGATCCTTATCCCACTGAAATACATGAACTGCCACAAAAAGAGAGGAGGGCACAGAGGAGATGAAAACAATCATAATGCTTTTCCTAAGGAAAGGAATTTCCATAGTTTTTTTTATCAGCTACAAAATTCTGGTGATTCCCAAAGGACCTTTTCAGAATACATTAAAGCAGCACACTTGCAGATCACATTTTTTCCTAAAGAAAATGCTTGTATTCTCAATAGAGAAAAAAAAAGAATACTCATTTTAAAAATAAATAAAATTCAAAGTAGGTCAAAGTGTTTATCTTCAGCGCTTCTTGAATTTACAGGATTTATTCCCAGTAGTACAATAACATTTCTGATGGTATTTGTAAACCAAAAAAGCACCTAATTAATAAAGTTATTTCATGAAGGGTGGAGAAAGGAAACCAACACTTGCCACAAGTTTCTGGAAGGTAGCTAACATAGTCTATAAAGGTTACATTTCCTCAATTACGTACTTCTGGTATTAACGCAAATAACCAAAAGACAATTTAAAGAAGAAAAAGCCAAATTATGAAATCATTAGTCTCCTCTGAGTGGACCCAAAGGCCTCCTTTCATAAGGGCCACCTGCAAATTAAAAAAAATGTGAGACCAAA